TAGAACAGTATTTGAAATTTGAAATCCAACTAACTGAGAAGACTAAAGCTTGTAGTGTTTTTTTTTTTTTTTATTTCCTTAAGGAAAAGGGCATCATAAACCGATAGTGACAGGTTCAGGTCCATTCATTCATGCCATGAAAGCTTAGTAAGTACTTGTAAAGAGTGAGCAAAGATGAGGTCTGTTTGTGCAAACCAGGTGATGACCATCCACATGGAAATGATACACAGGTAAGCCTGATGGGTTTGATCTGCCTTCTAGTGGCTGGTATGATGCCTGGGAGTATGATGAAATCTCACAAATGAGATTTCTTCCTTCTGCCTTTCTCTGTCAAGAGAACTTGAATCAAATCATGCAATTTTGTTATGAATCTTTCTTAACATTTTTGATTCAAAACTTATACTACCTAGAAGAACTTTGTCAACCAAACAGACCAGCGGTATGCACGCTACAGTGGAATGTTCAAGTGATTCTCATGTGTGTGAAAATGAGTGTAAACTGGAAGCTGTGTATGAGGTAAGAAGAACACTCCTCTTCCCAAGAATGAGTCTGAGGACAGGGTTGTGGTGGGCCTACAAAAGTAAGGCAGCTTTGCAAGCAAAAACTGTAAAGAATTTAGGCCGAACCAAGCCTAAAAGCTGCTCTCTTCACATTAAAATCTATCTAAGTGTGTAAATCACTTTCCTCTGGAACTGTCAGGTACAGGGATAAGGAAATGAAAGAAATAAGTGTGAAAGACATGCAGGTACAAATTTGAGAATGTTTCCTCTACTCCTTTCTAAGAACAGAATTCCATTTGAGCTGTGGGCTTTTTTCCAGGTAAACATTCAAAGAAGATACCCACTGTGTGCACGTGCGGAGGAGGGAAAAAGTGTTGGTGGTGTTGCAGGAAAATTGATTGAAAGTTGCACATGTGACAGAGATCCAGTATAGAAACCAGGAAAGTGGTCTCTGCCTTCCTGGGGCATGTCATGAGAATGACAAACATGTAATGACTACAGTCACCTCTTTGTCCATATACTGATGATAGACTAATGCTTACAACACAGCTGTGCATAACATCACACAGTGTATAAAAATGCAAAACTAAAATCTTTGGTAGGAAAAATTTTTTTAATACCAGAATTTTGTTTCTTTTAAGAGTTGCCTTGCTAGTAAATGGTGAGAGCTTTATCTCTGACAAGTGTGTTTGCTCCCCTCAGCCTAGGATTCCATCAAGATTCTGGGAGAATAGAAATGACAGGACACTGGGTAGGAATAGGGCTATGGGGAGAGGCATAGTTGTCTTTTACCAATACCAGTACATCTGAAGTATGCATTCCAGACTTCTGGATGTTCTGCATTTCTACCAGTGGCCACTGATCACCATTTCCTGTTCTTAGCAGATATGTGTGAGTCACTTCCGTTCTTTCCAATTCCCTCCAAATAAGTTTGTTATACACAAATCACTATATGAGATACTGATTTCAGGAGAAATGTAGCTAAGACAAGTCTTTAAAAAATAAGAATTATGGTGCTTGGGCAGGTTCTGTATTTGGTTGTGGGATCAGTATAAAATCTATACAATTTTAATGGATTTCTTCTTTTTTGTCACTCTCCGGTGTATGGCTTCAGTGTATGGCTATCTTGAGTTGCAACTGCCACAATTGTCCTTGTTGATTGTTCCTACATAGTTTCCCAGCATACTACAAATAGAAAAAACCATAAAAGCAGAATGCAAAGCTTTACAACTGGACCCTGTGTTCAGGGATGTGTCTGACCTTTTGATATTAGGTTAAGTTAAAGCAGGAGCATTCCAGTGAGGATAAATTCACTTTTGTCTTAATCCCTATGTACCCCAATTTCTGTGGCAAGTTGCAGTGATTCACCTTTGCTCCCACCCAGACCATAACACTTGCTCAGTAAGTGACCCAATTAGATGTTTTCTGCGCAACCCTAGACTGTATGTTCCTCTTTCTTTGGTCTCATGATACTTCTCATACACCAAAGATTTAGTTATTCTGGAACTTTTAGCTATAGTAGATGCCATTGAAAAGGAGAGGTATTAGTGATAGGATGAATAAATAGACATTTTCTTGGCTACTTTGGCTATCACAAGACCGCATGGCTTATAGCTTATAGCAAGCCTTTATTCTCATACTCACAAGTTGTCCCAGATGACAAGTTCAGCTTAGTTAGCCTACACTCATGAGTTTGCTGGGCTGTGCTTGGTTGAGGAATGTTGATTTGGTTTTGATCTACTCCATCTGAATTTGTTCTGGAAATCAGGCTGAAAGGGCAGTAGCTCCTGCAGTAACTCTTCCTATAGTACTAGACCAATGCAAAGCAAGAGCCAAGCCAATCTGTGTCAGCACCCATAAGTCCTGGCTTACATGTAAATATATGAAATGAAATATTACTTAGACTTAAAAACAAGAGAATGATACCCTGCCATTTGCAACAACATAGATGAAATTAGAAGACCACCTATAAAAGGAAGAATTCTGCTCTATCTCATGTATTCGTGGAACTTTTAAAAAATTAAGAATGTAGATCAGAAGTAAAAAGAAAAAGGAGACAAAATGGGAAAATGTAGTTCAATGTAAACAAAGTTACAATTATGTAGAATGAATAAATCTGCACATCTTTTACATAGCCTAAGGGAAAGAGTTTACGGTGCTTATTATAAAGATGGAGGAGGAAACTAAGTGAAAGGGAGGATATGTTATTTATTTATTAGAGTCAGGATCTTGCTATAAACCCAGACTAGCCTCAAACTCACAGCAATCCCCTACTTCAGCTTCAGTGCTGGGATTACAGGCATGTGCCACTTGACAAGGATAAGTTAATTTGCTGGGATATAATCATCATTTTTGTATGTATATCAAAACATGATACTGTCTATATGTAAGATATGGTCAGACTATACAGCAGGAATTTAAATTAAAAATATTTATTACATAAGAGATATATTGTATTCATTCTACTCAAAATATTCCCCTCTGCCTTGAACACACATGTCCTATAATTCTCAGCACTTCTTAAAGCAGTTCTTGAAGTCTTCTTTCAGGTCTTTCTGAGGTGTGATCAAAAATCAACAAATACTGTTGATTTGGCTGTCACATGCCATCCAGTGTGTCCTTGCTTCACCAGATCTTCACCAGTCACTATGTGTTATGGATTAAAAACTGGTGGTCAGCTTACCGCCAGTGGGATTAAATCACCATGGTGCTGAGCGCAGATGTTCCACCTGAGGAAAGTTGCCAGCTTAACTAGACATGAAGAAGGTAGGTGTGTTGAGGCATTGTGGGTTCTCCTACGTGTTGCTGTTTGAGCCATTGTCTCTCCTAGAGAAGTTCTAGTCCTTACATCGTGCATTGCTTCCTGGCTACGGAGAGGAAGACGTGTGCTGCTTGGTCTCCAGGATGAACTCATCACACTGGCTTCCTGGCATGTACTTGATTGTGCTTATCGTCAGAGGTCAGGGCCTCCGTGTCACTGAGTATGGCTGTGGTGCTTTTCAGGACAGTGCTGGTCTTTGTTGTGAGTGTGACTTCTCAGCTCTAGCGTAGAACCCTCAACCTACCAGCACAGCTCCATCACCCTGCTGGCATAGACTTTCTAGCTTCCACTACTGACCTTTGGGCCTTCCTAGCATAGATCCATAAAGGAGACTGGCATGAATCCTTCTTGTGGGTTCTAGACCTCCAGTTGGACACATGGGAGACACTGTCATGAGCTCTGGGTCTTCATCTGAACTCATGTGGGACATTGCTGTGGGATTCAGGACCTTGGCTAAATATTCTATGTCTTTAGTGTTGTAGATATATTTACTGCACTTTCTTGTGTTAACTCTGGGTGACCATAATAAAACAATATTATAAACTCCATGTCCTGATTCTAATTGTTCTCTGCACAACTGCTGACTACAACACCATGTGACTGTTGGCTCTTTCCCAAAATCAAGTCACCATGAAAGGTAAATGTTTTGAATTAATTTAAGACCTTAAAGAAGCCAAGACCATGCAATTAAAGATACTCATAATAAAGAACTTCTAGAATTGCTTCAGAAAATGGCAAGAGTGATGGGATGTTTCTTTAAAATGAAAAGGGTTAGTTATGGGAGGTTACCGGCAATATTCTTTTTACTAATATATATTCAGATTCAATTGAAAATATATAGCTTTCACACTGAACTACATCCTAGGCAATTTTTAGTTTTCTTTATTTTGAGACAGGGTCTCACTAAGTACCCCAAGCTGGGTTCAATCATGTGATCTTCCTGCCTCCACACCCTAGAGTACTGGGATTACGGTCATGTGCCAACACTCCTGATTCATAAATATAATAAATAAATAAATGGAAGATAGACTATCTCAAACCCATTCTGATGGGAAGCTGTCATGATATCTATTCATGGAGGACAAAATCCATTTAGAGCAATCTCCTGGCATTCTCAAAAATCTATTCTAGTTCAACTGAGTAGTCAACTGTATCTTTGGAGAAAGGAGAGAATTCTGGGGAAACACCATTCTTTGTGGGTAGAAATGTCAGATTCTGAGGTGAAGGGTGTAAGTTCCAGGACTGACTTCTGAAACGTAAGAGCAGGCACGTGAACAGGAGATCGATGTTGGGAATAGGCATTTTGTAGAGGAGACTTCTGAGAAGGGTTTAATGCAAGAATGCCTTTCCCTGACTTCTAAGCCAAGTCATGGTTAGTGAAACACTGCAAATTACATCTCTTACACGTGGTGAGTCTATTTAGTTTAGTGATTTTTCCCCTCAACCTTTCAGTAATGATCATCATACAACTTTGTGTGTTGTCAAAAAAAGTAAAAACTTGGGCTAGCCAGGGAAGACAGAACATGTCTTGTTCAAGTAGATGCTTCATTCACCTCCTATACAACCTATTTTCTGAAAAAAGAATTAATAAACTTTTTAGTGTAACTTTCAGCATTTTTATAGCCCATTTGGGAAACATAGTAAGACAGGACAATCTTGTTTCTGTTGGAAACATGAGCTTTCTTCTTTTTGACCTTGTGAGAAACCATTTATTCTTCTGATTTATAAGCATATTGTACATATTTTGGTTAATAATACATCAAGTGTGTAATATGAGAGTCCCCTTAAAAATGCTACGTCTCAAACTCAGTTATACATGGTATTAGGATATTAGATAAGTGTCACTTACAATTACAACATATACATATTATTCTTGTTTCACTGACAGAGGAACATGCCTTTTGAAAATAGTTTATTGGATGAAACGTTCTTATTCTCAGGAAAACTTTCAATTCTTTAATATAATTTATTATGCCTTTTAAAATTCTGTTAAAAGCACTGGTACATTATAAATACCTGTAAAGAAAATATAGCTTAAAATTCCAAGGGAAATATAGAAGTTGCCTCTTTGACATTTTCACAGAAATCCACACAGGCACTAAGAAAGACTGACAAAAATATTTTATGTCTGAACAATATACTCCAGGTTGGAAACATTCAAACATGATTTTATCTAAATATTAAAGCTTCTCTAGATTGAACCTTTGGCTATTACCCAATGAGTTGGTTGGTGTTTTAACCAGGAAAGGCTACTGTTAGGGGTGATCAAAAGGAAGTGTCATACATTTCACATTAGATTATGAATGGGGAAAGGAAGAGTTCTCACTCCCTCTTTTGTTAGCACACAATGATGGCTCTAGCTCTTAATCTTCTATTTATTTATTTGCTTATTTTTGTGATTGAAGCTGCATCTCATAACTCTCAGGCTCTTTTCAGTTTTAATACCTACTAAAGACCTTATTTCTAAACAACATGTGAAACATCCAAAAACAAAGCAATACTATCAGTCTTTTAGAAGAACATTCTCTAGCCATGGACAGTGCTCTGGAAATGGCCTTGCTGGATATAAATTCAAGTCAAAGGAAATGAGTTACCCTCCTGAACTACTTCAGTGTCCCGGGTGTTTTTATGATGTTCAAACTGTGTGGAAGATCTGCAAACAGCAGCTCAGTGGATGACTTCCAGTGTTTCACGTGACTGCCACCTTTGAGAGCACACCGAGAAAGGGAGGCTAAGAGGTTGGCAGTTAATTAATAGAGGAAATGAATGCTCATGTGAGATGAGGTTGAATGAATATGTCAAACTGAATTTCAGAGATGCTTCCTACAAGGTATAAAGTAACAAGCTTTTTGTCTGTGACTGTAACTTAATTAGATCATAGCAAACTTGTAATGGTAGAGCTTGTCTGAAAGAAGCTGTGGATTGCTTTTGTTTTTTATTTCCTATTTCATTTATACTTTGAACATATTTAATATAAAAATGGGCAAAATCAAAAACCTTGATGTTAACCAGTAAGGAGCAAGGTGGCCCTTGTAAGTAGTGTGGAGCAGGCCAGAGAGAGCTGACCTTTATTCCCAACTGGGCAGTTGCTATTCAGATTTAGCCAACTGTTGCTTTGACTGTAGATTTGTCTAAATATCCAGGTTTATACAAACATCCCTATTTTCAACAATATCTCATATTTTTGGAACATTCTGCATGCCAGATAAAAGCTTTCAGAGGAATAAATGAGGTGTATGGGCTGCCAGTCTATGTCTTATGATTCAAAGAATAGAAGCAATTTGGTGAGAATTTGTATACCATTGACTGGATGGAAAAAGATCTTTCAGTGTCCAGAAGTGAACACCCAGTTTCAAAGATCCAGGCTAATCTGTTCTAGTGAACATCATTTTTTTTTAATAAGCAAAACTTCTCTCTGGTTCTCCCCATTATAGATATTTTCCTGTTTTTCCACTGATTCTTCATGTTAGAAATGGTCACCTATTATTATTAAACAAATTAGGAGTACGAATTTACTGAGAAAACAGCATGAATTAGTTGTCAGTACTGAGTTTGCAGCTGAGGAAGGAGACAGGTAGAAGAACCTCCAGAAGATGGGGACAGCATGCATCACAGCCACCTGAGATCCACAGAGGTCTGCATGGCACACTGAACACACAGGAATGTGCTAGAATGCTCCTCACCAGATAACAAAAATTCAAGGCTTGTTTCTGGATCTACAAGATCCAGCTTTTTCTGCAAAATGACTAGATTGTCACTCTCATAATGAACAGTACTGTGAAGTAAGAAGACCTAAGTGTTAGAATATGGGCCTAATTGTGAACACTTTAAACACTTTGCCAATGCTTCCTTGGGATCAAAATTCAAAGAATTATGTGGTAAAACATCCCTCATCTTTGAAGATTACTTTTTTCACACTGATGGCTCTCCCAGGTTGCCCCTTTTGTATGAAATGACTCAGGCAGACTCAAGGAAGTATTCTAGTGTGGCACAGGGTCACATGTTAACTCCAGAAAAAGCAAAACACTTCACTTGCACAGGCAGGGAAGACATATTTTAAAAGAACTATGGTTGATTCTAGAAGTTGAATTTCCTATTTGAGCTCATCCCCTTCAAATGTATAGTTTGGGGAGAAAAAGGAAAAGTACCACAAAGGATATTATAAGCATAGAATCAATAACAGAACAATCACTGAGACACAAGCAAAATCTAAGAGGGAAGCCAGATGCATGAATATTTCCAACTTGGGACCACATACTTGCTTTAGTTTTCTTCATTCAGAATGTCCACCAGAGCTTGCAGCAGCCTGTCATCTCTGTGCTTGTAAGGTTTTGTGTTATAGAAAACATCCACATAGTCGTGATACAGAGTGTCCTCTGAGTCTTTCAGCTGAGAAGGTTTGTTCAGCTTTTCCAGGGCTTTATAGAAATTTTCATAAGGAATGTTGAGCTTTGCACTTGGAGTCTTCTTTGGTGATTGCTTTGGAAGTGAGTTTTTGCTGAAAGCACTTTGTAGGAGTCGCAGCATAGCCTCGGAAGGGGCCTCCTCTGCCTGCTCTTCCCGTCTGTCCCCCACACTGCTGCTGCTGCTGCTGGGGCTTTTAGAAATCAGGGGGTTCTCATTCAGGTTCTGCTCTGTAGGCTGCTCCTAAAACACAGAATAACACCAACAAAGCAGAGAAAGCTCAATATTTAGTCAAGCAAGATAGCCACAGCCCTAGCACAAGCCTACTGAGTGTTCCCTTGAGAGGACATTTAGGGAGCAGAAATAGCACAAGGCTTGGAACCACACAGAATCAAGTTTCAACCCTCATTTTTCCCTTTATTGATGTACCCTTGGAAACCATTTAAATCTCCTTGTACTGAACTTGTAAAATCGGATCAGAATACCTCCATTTCTGGCCATTTTCATGAATGTATGAAATGACATAAATAGTGCTCAGGATGTGTTGGTTTCTTTCATTTGCTGTCCTGGTATCATAGAATCAACCTTGAGAAGATGATATTAAATATTTACCAGCTCATGTATAAGGCATCAACCAGCTGACGCAGAGCAGGAGCAGCTTTCTAGAGCTTCCTCTCCTGCTCTGTCAGGAGTTACCCAGTTATAAGGAGGGAGTGGGAAAGAGACTCTGGTAGTGTGCCTGGGAGGAGGGAACTGGGCAGATCAGACAAGTGGCCCTTAATCAGTCACTTCAGAAGTACACTCATTGCCTAGATCTTCGTCAGGTATCAAAATCTGTGTATGCTCAGGTCCTTTACAAAAAAATGGCATAGTATTGGCATAGCACCTATGGACATCCTCCTATATACATTAATCATTTCTGGATTACCTATTATATCTATTAGAAGGTAAATGTCACTGTGTTATTTAGGGAATAGAAGACAAGAAAAGCAACTGTGTATAGTGCAGAACAGATACAATTGTTTTTCAAATATTTTTGACCAGTAGGGGGTTAAATCTGAGGATGTGAAACTCACAGATATGAGGACATTTCATGTTTTAACAATGGAAAGGTCTTGTTAATATCTTTAAGGACTCTTAGAGGAGAAATCCTTATAAAGTCCCCTTTTCAGTTCTAGGGACTAAAAAGAAGAGGCCTTGGGATTCACATCCTGGCAGGAAGCTAATTGGTAGAGCTTATTTATGACCAGAATTCAAGCTGAGACCTTCACACCATTAGTTTATTAATTTTTTAGTATATACTGTGTCTATAGATCTTCTAAAATGTCCAGCACTGATCTGGATCTATTTGAAGCAGGTCATTCTACAAACTCTGAAAATTTACCTATTATATCTGAGGAATTGTGCCAGGTGCTAGGGGATACTGAAATAAAGAAAATGTGACTTCTTCCCACCAGCTGATAAGGGAGAAATAAGAAGCTTTCAGAGGCTGAGTGCCAATGACTCCTTTTAAACCAAGAGAATATGTGATTCCATTGCTCTCTTAGGTACAATAAGGATGTGTTAGTTAAGCATCATTGACTAAACAGGAATCAGTAAAAACAAGCCCATGTGTTTTGGATACCTGGGGCTTGGTTTTCTTTCTGCTAAATGGACATACTAAGGTCTAGTCTTCCTGGGATATAAAGATTATAGATGGAAATGAGAGAATGGAAATCATTTAAAAACTAAGGGCAGTACAAATGTTAGTGATGTGTGATTATGCACAAAGACAGCTTTATTTATAATTTGCTGTCATAAGTGGTTAAGATTCATATTGGAAAATTTTTGAATTCCTACTAAATTCTAGATAAGAAACATAAGTTCTCTAGGGAAATAAACAGCTTCTTATTACTTCTCCTTTCCACCCTATATATATCTGACCCATTCCTTGCCTAAAAACAAGGTTCACGGCTTTGCCCATTGCATTGCCTACTGGAGTGCAGAAGAGAACATGCCAAGCGTGGGGTGCACTGACCTCGCTTGCATCCGCCATCTTCTCCACCCCTCTTCTGTCATTCTGTACGGTGTTGTAGGACGTGTACACGCGAGGCTGTTTCATGTGCTCTGGCTGAGAGGAGGTCCCATGCAAAATCAGCTTCCAGTTCACAATTCTCCCTTCGTTTTGCACTCTTCCAGACTAGTGAATAAACAAGTATGTATTTTTAGTGTGTGTTTTGAATATAAGCAAATTTATTTTAAAAAGAAAAAAATGGTTTTATGCTACAAATCTTATTTTGGGGCCATATCATTCCATATTCAGATCTCTATTTCCAAAGAACCATCAAATTTATTCTTCTATAAAGGTTGCTATAAAAGTTTATAATTTTGATGATTTTAAAACTGATTAATTGCTCATAATCAAGCTTTTAACTATAAAAATCAGAGTACTCATTGTAAATCTTTTCATATTGGTATATTTTTAAAAAGCTCATTGTACTTGAAATTCCAGGTATCTAAATCAAATCTAAATGTATAAAATCAGATTTTACAGATGATATAAAATAGTCCCATCCTAGTAACCATATTTCCTTAGTTTCCTAATGGTGAAATAGGTTTAAAAATTGAGGACAAGTTCCAGAACAAGACCAACTACTGAGAATATTATTTTCTTTTGTTATGAGAATAGAACTTTTTATAACTTTAATTTCTAAACCATAACTTTAGCAATGCTTTAAAGAAAGCTGTTGTCAATGACAAGTAACAATCACTATACAATTTATATTGTTCAACATTTTAGAAATTAATATAATTTTTTTAAAAAATGTAGGAATGGAAATTTATACTACTGATACTTATTGCAGTTTATTTCAGAAGACCTCAGAGCTGACATGACATTCATTTATATTCTTGCCTATAGAAAATGGAAACATTATGCAAAATAAATAATTTAGCTATATTTGGTTTTTTGTCATACACTCTTGCATTTTGGTGACTGTTCAACTTACAGGAAGATGTCAAATAGTGTTAGTACAAGTTGTGTGTTCTTTATCTGAAATGCTTAAGACCATAAATGTTGTGGATTGCTGATTTTTTTTTCAGATTTTGGAATATTTGCATAGGCTTCACCAGTTGAATATTCTGAGTCAAAAAATCTTAAATTTGAAATGGTTGAAGATCCAAAGTTTTTTGAACATCATATCAACTCAAAAGAGCAAAATGAAAAATATTTTCAGTATTTTTATGACTGAAGATGCAGAAAAAGTCATATTATGTAAGATATCTTGCCTAACATGATGCTTTTTCTCAATAGCTACTGTGGAATAATATTAAGAAGGTTTTCATGCAATTCCAGCAAACTGTCATGGTAAAGTATTTTACGATTTTCATGAACATGGTTGATTCTCTTCATAAATCATGTAGCTAGTTGGCCTGAGACATGAGAGCTCCTGAATTTGCCTCATAGTCTGTCATATTGTTTATCAATTGTTGTGGCTTATATTCAGATGTCCCCACAAAGCCTCATGTGGTCATAGGTGGGTCTGGATCTAGGGTGAGTGATGCTGGAATCAAGGATGTGATGCTAGAATTGATTCATGGTGTGATGCCAGGGAGTGTCCCACTCCAGGTGTGAGTGCCATCTGCCCTTAGAGTGGATAGCCTGGACAGGATATAAGGACAGAAAGGAGTAAACAAGGTTGCTGCTACCTCTCCACTACTCTGCTGTTTCAGGGCCTTCTGCCTGCCATGAGCTGTTTCTCCTCTGTGATGCTCCTGTGCTGTGTCACCCTGACACTGAGGCAGTCCACTATGAACTGAAACCTTTACTAACTATGAGCTGCAATAAGCCTTTCTCCCTTATCTTTGGGTGTTGTGTATTTTGTCTTAGCAACAAGAAAAACAAGACATCATCATATCTTTTCTGCTCTCTTAGAGTATGCCTGGTGCTCAATCTTTTTAAATTATTATCTATGCATCCAAATGGGAAGGGCTTCAAACACTGCACTTTACTTATACTAACCAGTGGTCAACTTCTGTACAGTCTTACTTAATGATGATATCAATCTTAAAAAGTGCTCCAGGGGCTGGCGCTTTAGTTCAGCGGCATAAGCGCCTGCCTTGCAAGCAGGCAGTTGTGAGTTCGATCCCTGGTACCAATAAAAATGAAAAAGACAAAAAAAAAAAAAAAATAGAAATGCTCCAAAGTGTTTGAAGTGTGTTTTCCTCATCTTCACATTCAAACTTACCATATCTGCAATTCTCAAAGTCCAGGTGCCTACAGGATTCTCTCCCCACGTGTGAACAGACATAAAGTCCCAATTCTTAAAGCCATTAGGAGATGTGTCCCGTTCCCTTTCAGCCAACAGTACAGTGTTGGTTCCTATTTTCATGCAAAAACACAAGGTAATCAGTTTCCTAGTAGCTCACATAGAAGGGCATATCGTAGAATGAAAGTTATCAGACTGATGCTTCTGATTTGCCAGGAGAAGGTCAGGATGGCAAGATTCACAAGGAAAAACTGTTTTTATCCACGATACCTAGCACATTGCCTTCATGTAATAATTTCCTTTAAAATTTTGATTGTAGTTTATTTGAATAAGGAGAACTCTAAGAACTACCTTTATAAATTGATTCAAATAAGAGTTAAAGATCTAAAGTGTATTTTAGTGGCACTGTCATTTTGAAATATAAAAAGGAATCTTACAAATTTAAGAACTTGAGCTTATAATCTAATGTGCACATAAAAATCAACTTGTTATTTAGTTAACTGATTTAATAGTTAATCATACAAATAAAGATATATTAATTTAACAAACAATTGTCATATAAAAACTAATATTTAAAGTAACTCTAAATTTTCAAATCCAGATCAATAAATAATATTTCAATCAAAGTAAAAGATTAAGTAAAGAAAAAACATTATATTTCAGGCCAATTACAAGACACCTAGATGGCATCTGCTCTAACCCTTCAGGAGTTCATATCCTAGAAGGGATTCACAGAAGTAGCTCATATTTGCTCATTTATCACTTCTAGAAGTTAAATTTGGTCAGCTGGGTCCTACCAAAAATGAAACAGCATTGGGATAACTTTTCCTGGTTGGACTGTGATTTATGACTCATCAGTTCTTAGTGTATCTGAGTTAGAGCTATTTCAGGAAAAGGACATATATCCACACATCATATAGACTTATTCACAGCATGATGGGAATTTTATTAGTTACCACCTTCTTTTATGTATTAGAATGTCTATTTTTCAACTGATTCTTGGCATGTTTCAGATATATCTTTAAATTTTGTGAATTATCAAAGTAACTTTTGCAAACATATTCCCTAAAAGAAATAAATGATGTCAGTAACCTGAAACATTGTTTGAAAATGGATGACTTCATAACATTTTATTAGCTGGAATTATTAGAATAGGCCACATTTTTTTGCTTATTTAAGGGTGAGTAGTGCAGAAGAAATTTAACACCAAGAAAAATGAGTGTAGTTTTTAGACTTGAAAATGCATATTAGGAAAATTAGTTCTACAAAAACAAAACTCCACACAAACAAAAATACCATTGATTTACACTTGAAATTTTAGAAGAAATGCTTTTAAGTTTACCAGCAGCAGAAGTGAGTGTGACATGAAGGTCCCCTCTACGGGAATACTCAATTGTTGCTTCAAATTGCACATGCTCCAGGGACTTGATAGAGTTTTCTTGTCCTTCACAAGCTCTTGTTGGAATTTCAATGATAACTTCTCCATTAGCTTTCAGGGCTCTAAATACATGAAACAGTCAGCATTAAATAGTGTGCCCTGTCTTTCATGCGCATAATGCGTAGGAGTACCCATTAGTCTTGACCTAATATTCAGCTTGGCATTTGTTATATGTGAAACTCAATTCAAGACTAGCTATGAAATAATTAAATGCATAAAGTAATAGGGAACACAAACACTTAAGTACAATACTACTTGCTGTGGAACCAAATTCAAGCAAGCTTTATTACTACAATATCTAAAGCACTGTTAACAAAAACATGATTTTATCTATAAAGACTTCCATAGGCATGCTCTCCAGCCTCTCATTTGGCTTTTGGTATTATTATTATTATTTTCTTGATAGAAACAATGAAGCATTCTGAGCAGACTCTGCTTTTGTGACTAGATATGATAAGTCATAAGAACATATATATGTTCTAAATAAAAGAAGCATGAGCAAGGATCCTTCATGGAGAAGAAATATGAATCACATAGCACTGTCGCATGAGGCAAATCTATTTTGGAAACAGACTTTATACTAGCCAGCACATTCTACTTTATCAACCCAAAGATGCACTTTTTAAAACTAGGTTAAATTTGAATAAGCCTTGAAACTGATTTTTGATTGGTTGTAGTTTGGCAATTTTTTTATTAGTGGTGTATAAAGCAATGGTGCATCTTAAGCTTAATGCAATGTGGGAGGTGATCAACAAGAAGAAAACCCAAATATGCTAACATGACATAAATCTGTGGGCTCTTAATAATTCTCCATTGGGAGCCATCTATCAGTTTCATGTCCCTTTACTGTGGTAGGTGAGAAGACAATTAGCTGGTATAACAAACATTGTAGGGCATACATTTGTTAAAAAGTCCTGGATGTAAGGTAAGTACCTGGGCTCGAAGTCATTGTCTTTTACCACGCATTCTTTCTTCTCCGGTACACTGGTCCAGGTCCTAGGATCAGCTAAGTCCACGAGAGCTTTGGCATTTAGCAAGCCAAATCCAAATCGGCTATTCACCATCAAGCCTGCTCCATTTTTTTTCCATCCAGGGTTATTGGCCAGTGGGTCATACTCTGAGGTCCAGACAACCAAGTGCTGCATGTCTCTCCATGTGAGGTTTGGGCTGAAGGAAAAGTGAGCCAAAGTATCTATCAGGGATAAAATGAAGTTTCCTTGCAAAATCAAGTGCTAAAAATAAGCACTTCTATTCAGGGATGATAAAATGTCTTTTGTAGTTACAAGGACTATTGAGGTGTTGTTTTATTTAGAGCTTAAGGTACCATCCTGAAACTTTCACCCATACTGTGAAATATCTTAATACATTGTAGAAGTATAAAACTTTGTCCCTGATTTCTAATTGTTTGTATTTAACTAGACCAAAATTTTATGCTATCCATGAAGTCTTAGCCTTTTCCACAGATGAGGTCTTGAATTTTTCTAGGAAGAATCATATTTTAAAGACATGGCTAGCTACTTATTCCAAAGTGCATTTTAACTTTTTTCTTTCTACAGTCAGCTGTAGAGCTGTGTACTCTGCATCTGAAGATGTGACCAATGGATCAAAAACATGCAGAAAAAAACAGATGCATACATACTGAACACATACAAACTTTTTATTATCCATAACAATACAGTTTATAGCAATATCCATAGGATTTACATTCTTTTAGGCATTCTAAATAATCTAGAGATGATCTAAAGTGCCCAAGAGGATGTATCTAGGTTTTATGCAAAGTACTATGCCATTTTATGTAAGGGGGTTCTATTGATTTTGTATCTATGGAGAGTCCTAAAACCAATTGCTGGTAGAAATCATGGATGACTCTGTATCAGCTAGTTCTTGTCCTTAAGAAGCTCCAGTGAAAATGTCTGTCTTTTTATAGACATAATACATTGGATTTTGAATTCATAACTTACTGTATTGTGAGAGTTTAGAGAAAGAATTTCTATGGAATGGAAAGATGTAGGAAGGTTTTGTTAGAAACAAGGATTTGAGCTAAACTGTGAAGGTCTGGAAGATTTGGAAAAAGTGGCACTAAAGAAGAGAATAAGAGGCAAGTGGGGCCAAAGCAGGAGCCTGGACAGGACAAGGTGGAGACAGATGACAAAGTGGTCTGCTGGAGTAGGGAAGAGACAATGCTGAAGTGATGAGACCCTTGAACATCACAGAAGGAGTCTGTACTTTGTCCATTAGGCATGGAAAATTACTGATGATTTTGGAGCAAGAAAATGATAACATTAGAAGTTTCAGTAAGATCAATTAAGCACCACTTTAGATACACTGGAGATTTAAGGAATTGTTGGATCTACTGTATGATGAGGCCTTCTTTGATCACTTTAAGATCTCAATTTTTTGTGTTTTGTTAGTGTCCATCTCTATAGATAGAATTCAGTCAAGAGAAGGTGTCAGGTCTTTATTTAACTTGTTGCCTTTTGTATACCAGTCACCCAGAAGAATTCTAGGCTCAAGGGCACAAGCAAAGCAGTGGTTGGCTGGTATTTGAACGTGCTTTTCTTAAATAGGCTGAATATAATTTTAAAACATTGCTATTAGTCTTTAAATTGTAGTAAGAGATCAAGCTTTCTCTTGTCTTTAAGATCCATGGTTTAATAAATAATGTGCACAGGACTCCCCTTCATGTTTTTAATATCTAACTGCAAGCGTGCAGAGTAATCATCAGGTGGATTCACCTCAATATCCTGCTGTATCCCCTGAGCCCATAATGCACTGGTTACACAGTCCCCTGGTGGCAAGAAAGAGGAATTGTGCATTCCTAAACAATCAGGAGTTAGGATCCTGGTAAAAACTTGTGTGTGATTCTGCTGTTTGCCTCTGTACTTCTCCAGCCCTATGAATGAAGTTCTTAGATGTATTTCAGTCCTTGGATAGAGGCCTCTTCAGGTCTCGATCTCTCTCTCTCTCTCTCTCTCTCTCTCTCTCTCTGCTACTGGGAATTGAATTTTGAATCTTGTGAATGATAGACAAGCACTCACCTACTGAGCTACAACCCCAACAAAATTCTCTTTCATCTAGTTTTTGAAAAATATTTTAGCTTCATTGTCATGCAACTAGAAAAATTACACCTAGGTTCCTAAAAGAGTTATTTTCATTTGTGTGCTTGTGCTTCATAAATGAAAAGGAGATGTTAACAATAGTATAAATCATTCCTGAAAGCCTTCTTTCGTTAATTAGTGTATAATAGCAGCCACGATAATTACTTTTTAAAAAACCACATTATGTTGCTAATCAAAGATATGTTTACAGAAAATAAGGGCTATGGAATTAAACATTGAAATTAATCACTGCTTCTAGTTAGAAGAGATATAAGTAAGGTAGTCTAAAGACAAATTTCAATAGTGAAAATTCTTACTGGTTCCTTTGTTCAATCTTGAAGTACACATAGATGAGGCCAGATGTTGAAGATTTTCTAACTTGGACTTCATAATTTTTCACCACCTACAGGGATTTTTTATTGTTATGTTTTGTTTTGCAAAGGCTTCATGCAATATTGAAAGTCCATTTCTCTATGTTTAGATTTTAATAAATAACCTAAGATTGGTTCCAGTATAATACTGCCGAAGGCATAAAGAGATTCAATGATTCACTTCAGAATTTTTTTCCCCTATTAAAAATCATTCTGGTTCTTTTGAATAGTCTATGAAGACTGAGTCTACTGTCTGCCAGCTTTCTTAGCTACAGTCACTGCATATTAATGATGGTGCCACAGCCATTTATGCAAGGAATTTCTCTCTTAGTATTTTTAGCTCCAGGATTTGCCTATTAAATACCCTAATGGCATCCTTACAATCGCAACTGGATGAGTTTGAAGGAAGTAGTTCTTTATAGCCGTTGATCCTGCCATAAGCAGGCACATTAAAACTGCCTAGGATGCTTGCTAGAGATGGAGATTACTGGGTCATGTATTTGAAACATCAGAATCTCAGTTGCTAGCAATATGAACTGGAAATCCACATGTGAAATAAATGTCACAGGTGATTACTATGTTGCTGGCATTCAAGAAACAGTGTTCTAGGAAACAAAAGTATTATCCTGTACATATTTTAGCAAGAAATTATTCTTTCTCTTTCTAGTTCCTTTTCCCATTTCTCCTAGCTACATAGTCTAGTTTTGACAGAAAACAGTAAGAATTCACAAATGCAAATTAATTTACATCAGCCTAGGTCATCTTAATTGTCCTCTGATTGATAGGATAAGAAGTTTTGATCCAGCATTTCTCTCCCCAGCAGGGTTATGGGAGACAATATATTGTGGGTGCTGATAGCACATATTTGGGATCAGATCCGAGTTTAAATCTCTCTGAGTTTTCAGTTTTATTTCTCAATACCTCAATTTCTTTATTTATAAAATGCAATTAATAATTTCTATGTTGTAAGAAAGTATAAAAGTGAATCAATGTAAAAGGTTAGCATAAGTTCTGGCCTATGGTAAGAACTTGATGTATGTTGATTGTCACTATTCCTGACAAATACAATGAAGAGCTCTTTTTCTGTTAAGTTGTATATAGTTATTCTTTGAAAGTCATGTAATAGTATTCTTTGGGGGAATTACACATGTTTAAATGATTTTTTCAATCTTGAGTATGTAGGGATGAGGCTTGATCTCACTTTTAGAAATGCTGGCATTCAGATACTGTGATACAATATAGTCTACATATAAGCAGTTGAACAGAGTTCAGAAAATCATTCAACTGAGAACAGACATATCAATATACTTTGGTAGAAAGGATATAAATGTCCATCTTACTAATGAATGAAATCAAAATGAAGGGAATTAAATTCTCATAATTTTTTGGACGATAATAGACATTGTCTCTTAAGTTATGAACATTGTCAGAACCTGGGGAACTTATAAACCATTCTTCAAAGTAATTCCATACACATATTTTTAAGCAATTCTGCATTGAGTTGCAAAGAGATTTATGGACCACTTGAAAACCACCCATGTATTTCATAGTTACAGAGATTTAGGGTGAGTTCATCAAAGACTAATGAGATTAATAAGACTACATAATTCTTAGGTCATTTCCCACTTGTATACAAAAAGAAGGCTTTATGTTTGAGAAATCACAACCCACTTTTAATATTCCAGTTTATCTGCAAAAGTAAAATCATATCTGTTCAGCTAGATGGATATTTTTACTATATTGGTTACCAAACAAACAGGATTAGGCCTGGCTAGTCATATTTTGCATCATTCTACTGAGTATGGAAGAAAGATTCTATACTCAAAATTTTAAAGGTAGATTTCTTTTAGTAGCTTCTCATGGCTAAGAGTCTATGTCCTGACATTATAAATATTGTAAGCTCGTTTCACATTTTCTTCTAGACAAGCCCCCTCACTACCAACCCAACAGCTCATGTTGGGCTTTTTTATATGCCCTTGTCTTCAGTTTCAGATCTGAGAATCTTATGAAGAGAAGTATTTTAAGAAAAATGGTGTGATTTGACCCTTTCATTTTGTAGATAAGACTGAACACCTACAAATGAACTAACTGCCATAAGTCACACAGCTAGTGATATATTTAGAACTTGAAGCTAGGTGTTCCTTACAAAATTTCTTACTTGAATATCTCTTTGAAGTTAGTTTGTATTTGCTGATGACAGTTTTAGCTTATCATGCTATTACAAGTATATTCAGGTTCTGGCATAGTTTTTCTGTTGGTGCCAAGATTGATTTCTGATTGAACACCCAGATTTGATTCTTCCATTAATAAAACATCTTCCCATTTTCAAGTAGGTAAACTCTGTATAAGAGCCTTGGAAAGCTGTCTTGCTTATATGGCCATCTCATTGCTGAGATACCCAGAGACTACACAACATCTCCATAGTCTAAACGTTTCTAGTGCTATGCTGGGCTGTTCTGGGCAAAGGTTTGGAAACTTCATGGCTTCTCTAGGTATAACAAAGGCCAAACTCTTCTACTTCTGTGAACAGGATATGAGGGGATGACTGTATTCTCACTAGAGACTATAAACCTACGTCTAGCACAGACTCCTTATTAGACACATTCATAGTGACTTACAAGATTTGCTATCAATTATTTGTACCAGAGAAGTAAGGTTGTTGCTGTGACTATGCTTGACCATCTGGTTTAGAAGCCTTTGGAACCAGCTTATGGGAGGAGTTTGGAAAGGTTCAAGAAGTGGGCTAGAGAAGCCCTATAATGGTGTAAACAAAATTTGATGAGAAATTATGGCCAGGGCTCAGAAGACCAGGATGTTGACAGAAAGGTGGACATGAAAGGCCAGGCTCTGGAAGTTTCATTTGGAATCAATGACTCCATTGATTCCATTGATACCACTGAATTCCATTGATTCCACTGATTCCATTGAACAAGAGGCCATGTATCTTACTCTCTGATATAAAATTTTTCTGTATTTTTTCCATGTCCTAAGACTTTACACTGAGATTAAAGACTGTGTAATGATTAATCTGGCAGAACAAATATCAAGGAAGCCCAACATTCAGGCTGTGGCTCAAGGACTGCTGCCTGCTTTTAATTACATTTATAGAGAGATTTGGGGACAAAAGACACAACAGAAAAGTTAACGAACTCAAATTTTGGCCCAGAAGGAACCCTGTGTAAAGTTGGGTCCAGAGAAGATGTGACTGCTAAAGAGACAAATGCCATTAAAAACAGAAGCATGTACCTTGTACAGAGACAAGAAGAAAGATGCCTTGAGATCATCCCAGGAATCAGCAGGATCTCAGCCATTGTAGACTTACTGGTGCAAAGGGATTAACCTTTCATTTGAGAAAGGAATCTTTGGGACCTCTTATTTCATGATGCTCAGCCATCTAGGTACTTAGAAGTCTCTGCAACCATGGTCCAAGGGGGCCTGGCTACTGTTTCTACTTACAGGAGGCCTTGGTATTGCCCATGTGATGCTAGTTTTACTGGCATACAGAATGCAAGAGTTATGGGGTGAGGAATGTATCCATTCAGGTTTCAAAGGAAGACCTGAGAAGCCAGGCAAAGAATCCTTGAGAAGATAGTGTGGAGCTATGGGAGTAAAGCAGAACATGTAGTGAAAACTCAAGGAAGTCAGAAATTTCAGGAATGTATAATGTCAGCTGAGGACAGCTCTAGAAAATGAAGCTAAGAATCAGTCAAAAGAGAGGCCTTGTGTGGGGCACAAAGAGCATAGGAGTGGTACCAACAAGGCCCTTTGGAACATATTTTATCACCACATGCCCCAGATGCTGGACATGGAACTACAGAATTTATTACTTGCTAATTTTCACTCTTGCCTTGGTACAATTCTTTTCTGTCTCCCTACTTTTCCCTTTTGGAAAAAGAATGTTTAACCTGTGTCACTGTACCTTGAGATTACATGATTTATTTTATTTTATAGAGATTCACATGTGAGAGTTTCCCTTGAGTCTCAGAAGAGATTTGGACTTTTGAAAAATTCTAGAACTGCTGAAACTTTTTGGAAGGGATTATTTCATTTCCAGATGTCCATAGGATAATTGTATTATGTTACATGGAACTATAATCTCATTATTGTTTTTATTTACTGATTAAGAATGGTGTAAGGATATGTATTTGGGGGTGAAGTTGACAAGGGGTGGATTGTGACCATTCACCCTCATCTGGATGAGGAAATAACTAGATCAGTAGAGCATGCTCTTGGTGAGTCTTGGTGTGGGAGTCATGGAGGTACTGACTTAAGTAATATACTCATTCCTTTCTGGCATTCTTCTCTGGCTCTTCTATCGAGCCTCTGCAAACTACACAACTTTGTTACACCATGTCGTTCTGCCATGATGTGTCTGCCTTGGAACCAGGCAATCACAAGCTAATAACCATGAACAAAATAACCTTTCCTCTGTTATGATTTGAGTGTCAGACATTATGTCCAGCAACAGAAAAAAACCAACTGATATACTATTTAACGCAATAAAGCAGGAATGAGGGCAAATAAAGCTCTGTGAATGTATAGTAAGTGATGATTAGATTTTCCCTTCTGTGTTAAGGATTGAATGATGGGGTAACTATTGTCAGGGGAAAAATGTCAAATCCTTTTTAACACCATTCATGAAAAAAGTACTGAGAGGATTTAGAATTTATACATGGCAAAACAACCATAATAAAAAATATAAATAAATGTTCATCTAATTTTGGGTTATGGAATTTTTTTCTGAGCATAAAAACAAAGAAAGCTGTCTTAAAGAAACAGAATACCAAACCTATGTAAATATATATTGACTTCATTACACTAAAATTACTTACAAACAAAATTAAAAGTCAAATATCAAACTAGTAAAGTATTAATAGGTTTTTAGAACCAAAATCATAAAATAAAATCAAAGCAGGAAAGAGGCAATCTCAGAAGGCGAATGCCCAAAGGATATAAAATATTGAGCTTCATTAGTAATAAAATAAAATATATATTAAAATGAGATACCATTTTTACCTATGAAAACACAAATGCTTAAATAGGTAAGATCAATTCTGGCAAGGGTTTAGAAACTGGCACTTTCACTTAGACTATAAAATGGTATAGACTTTCAAGGCAGCAACTTGTCAACATGCATCAAAATCATTAAAGCATGCCAGTTTTTTGGCCTAAATATTCCAATTCTGACTGTTTATCTTGAAAAAATTATCAGAGATGATAATCAATGTTTATTGGCAAAAATGTTTACCTAAGGATGATCAGATATTTTAAATAAAATTTACAGTTATGCTATGGAATCTATGAAAAGGCAAAAGCTTGATTTCAAGTCTCATGTCTCCTGATATGCCTGTATTAGCTCCAGGACTAGGCTTATATATTTGCATAGAGGATATTTTATGAGCTTGCCATTCATAATACCACCTACAGAAAATTATTTGGATAACATATGGGAAGAGAGTCTTACAGCGGAATAGGAAGAAGACAGGGGAAAAACTGTCAGCTTTTAAAGGTCAAGGACCATTAACTTAAATATCAGAAAATATCAGAGAGTACATTTAATATGATAGACTGGATTTTTAAAAAATTACAAAACAACATGCGTCTTAAGCTCTCCATTTTCTAAGATATGTGTGTATAGACCTACATCAAGAGGCTAACAATGGTTTTCTCTATGTAGCAGGAATAGAACTTATATTCCTTTTTTTTTTAAGTTTTCCAAAATTTCTCCTATAACCACATATTCAGGAAACAAAATATGTCCTAAGAGGGATGAGCAGCCTCTGTCAAGGTGATCAGAAGCTTTCAGGGCCTTACTTTGCTTCCAGGGCCAGAGCGAAGATGCCAGCAGCCAGGGGTGCAGACGCCGAAGTGCCCGTGTGGGTCTCCGTGCAGTCATTGTGCAGGTCTGCACTTGTCTGGATGGCAGGGGGAGAGAGGGGAGGGACACATGATGAATGATGGGGGTAACCGTACCAAGGTCTGCATCTACTATGACCAGAAAGCCCAGCTGATTCCATTCCCTACTTCCTCCCTAAACCACAAGCGGATGTTTGCCATCTGCTGATATTTTAGATCACTTTTCTCTCTATGCAACTTGTCTATAATTCTGGCACCAAGATGCCTTTTCTGGGGATGAAATACTCCCACTATGAATATTTTCTCTTCTGAGACTCCCAAACAAACTGCAGTCTGTAAAAAAGAAATCACTGTGAATCATGCTGGCCCCTTAATCATCAGGTCCATTGTGTTTGGTCCAGCATATTTAGAAATTCTGCCTCATTCTAAATTCCCATTAGCCTTCATTTTGACATTTGGTTGTCTCTTCAGTAGGATGAAGCCATCCTGATCTTAGTCACCTGAACCACTTGTTTAAAATTCACTTCGTGTATACTTTGGACTTTCTGTTATCTAGATTTGATGCCTATGAGTTAGAGTCTACAACTGCACTTTGATGAAAATGATAGGTTTTTCACAGAAAAAGGGTACTGGTCTTAGTTTTGGGTCTAAATTCTAGAGTAGTTATTCTTTAGATGTGTCTCATGTGCATGTCCTTTGGTTTACCCATCTGTAGAGTGAGATTTACATTCCCTGACTCATATTCCCTGAGGCTTATGTGAGATCCCACCTGTGAAGGTATTTTTACACAGTATTTTCTCATGGAAGGAATTGTGCAGGCTAACTTTAGGGTAATGAGGAGGCTGCTAACATGAAAGGAAGAAACTCAGATGATTTCCCATCAGTCTGCTTGGAGGACTTCAGTTCTGCTACTGAACAATGAGTTGGGCCAAAGGATTACTAACAAGATATTCAGTTAGGCTTCAGCACTAGTTCTGAGCTAGAGATTTCAATGTGTGGGAGGAAGGTGTAAAAAAATGATTTGTTTCATTATCACTTCCTTTGGCTTCCTACTTGGAGTTGCTGGATTTTATAAGCTATGGTGTCTCTGCTCCTCAGAGTGCTGAGGAAGCGAGGTTGCAGTTTTTACCTGTTGACGCAAATAAGCCCCCGGAGATGACTGTGCTGAGAGAGAGGTTGTGTAAGGAGAAAGCTGCACTACTGCGACTTTCTCAAATAGAACCCACCAGCTGTCTCTCTTCCCTAGGGTTGGTTTACCTAGGGAGGGCTTTACAAAGATGCATGGAAAATTCTTGGCTGCTTCTGTGCAAAGTAGCCCAGAAGATGGGCTGTCTATGAGAGTCTAAACTGTTTAACAGGCCATTTTCAAAAGACAGCTGGGAACACCCAGAGTGATGGCAACAGCCAAGAGCTTTGATGATAAGAGGGGCAGATGTCTGATGCCCCAGTGAAAGTCTATAGAGAATGTCTGCCGTGAACAGCTCCTGGGTAGAATGTCAGTGTCTATTATGCAAGTAATGGAAGATACGGCATAGGAAAGAGGCCAGCATTTTTAAGTGAAAACCACGTAGCTTACTGCCCAGACTACAATGCAAAATCAGTTACAAAATAGCCATCCTCCCTGAAAGACACTAATGCTGATAATTCTGTTGAGATGCCATTAATGGGAATTGTGAACATATTCCAAGGTAATTATTATGGGGTTCACCCACAGTCTAACTGAATCATGACCTACTATTGCATTGAGATTAGGAGCTACATACCTTAGTTGGTTGGTTCTTTCTCTGCCCAATGTTAAATTTGAAGGTTTAAATTTTTAAGTTAAAAGTGCCTCTTTTTGTTCTCAAAGTCTCCGAATGGGCCTTCATCATCATGCCCTTGAAGGGAAATCCAATAATTGCCCCTGGCTGTCTGAGTCAGGGAAATGCAGGCACAGGCAAGCGTAGGTTGGAAGAGCTCTTTGAGCTTAGAGCATTCCTGAGCTGCTTATTCTACACAGAGGAGTTCATCTCAGGGGAAAGTGAGGCTGTTATTTTCTTGCAGGTTGTCTGTTTTTAGGAGAGACTGCTCGTGTAGATTCTGTATTTTTATCATTTGCTAAAGGGCAAGTCAGAGTATATCCCTGCTACTAAAGTATAAGCAAGTACAAGGGTGATAAAGCCTACAACCCTGAAATGTCCTTTTAGACTGTTTCCCGGGAGGCATCAGACAAGCAGGAAAGACATTTGGAATCTCGGCTGTGTGTAATGACAGGTTTGGTGACTTCTCAGAGCTGAGTTTTAAAATGACAGCAAGGGAAGATCGCCATGGCAGAAGCATCATTGTGCCTATAGGCAAAGCTTCCCTATCTATGCTAGGCTTTCAATGAATTAGCCCGAGTCTCTCCAACAGAGACATCACACGGAAGCAAGTCAGTCCCACCAAAGGTCAGTTAGGAGGGTCATTGTAAGTGCAAGGAATGCTCTTCTAGCTAGGCAGAAAGACACAAAAGCGACGTACGATTCGCTGGTCGGTGTAATCCCCGCTGCTGTAAGAGGTGGCCAGGGTGGAGGAGCACTTCTCAGCATACCAGGGCGACAGGCCTTGCTGGGAAGCACTGCTGATGGAGATGGTGTAGATGCTGTCCGTGTAGCCATCACAGTCACAGTTATCGCCCTGACGTCCCCCATTCCCAGAAGCCCAGACGAAGATGGAGCCCTTTCCTTGTCTTCCCTAAAGAAAAAGCCAAAATGTATACTGTCAGTTATCATCTACTACAGTCCTGTTAAGCCACAACAAATCCCCAACAAACACAAGCATGAGCTCACAGACAGTTATTAGGGATCTATTTTCAGCTCTGTGTCCTCCAGCTTCAACACTGGGAATCTTGGGAGACTGTATATTTCAAACATGGTCTGCCAAGCAGCCTGCTGCCAGCATCCTCATCTGAGCTCTCTCTGGGGTGGGGCTGAGAAAGCATCTTTCTTTCTTTCTTTCTTTCTTTCTTTCTTTCTTTCTTTCTTTCTTTCCTTTTCTTTTCTTTATTATGCAAATTCATAATCTCGCCTCTAGCACTTACTCATAATTTTTTTCACTGTTCTCTTGGCATATGTCACTATCCTTGAATCTTTGAACTTCCTCTTTCTTTCTGCTTGGATCTTCTTGCTGGCTGATAGAATGACAAAATCAGGCATTATTCAGAGCTGCCTTGCAGCTGCATTAAACAGGACTCTTCAATTGAATGAAACTCGTCAAGGCCATCCTTTCTATGATTTTTCAATTTGTGCTCTCTAAAGTCTCTATTTTCATCTCATCCTGTGGAGGGCAAGGCCTTGGAATCTGTGCAAGGCTGCAATAAACACTAGTGTCTGAGCAACAACCGAGGCAGCAGTATTCTCCAGTCATGTGCAAAATAGAGGAGGGTTCACTGCTGTATTCACAAGCCTCGTCAGATGGTTTTGTCTTACATAAGAAACCCAATATATAAATAAACTAAAGAGCAAAACTGCCCATAAGACACAGGGAGATAGATCTTTCACAGATGGGAAGGGGACCAAGAGCTGGAGAGAGGGGATTAGAAGGAGATGTAAAAGGAATTAAGACGTGTTGTGTCCATGCACCAACTCCTCATGATGAATGTAATCATTGTATTAATCCTAAACTTATACTAATAAAACTAAAATTAAAAAATAATGGATTTCCAGAGCAATGGGAAGAAGTCAGGGCAATATTTTACATAGTAAAAAAACCCCAAAGCAAGTGGAAAATAAAGAACATGCAGATATATTTTAAGCTATATCCTGAAAGCAGTGAGTCTCCCTTCAGTGTTAGACTCAAACAGAAAGACTCTCTTAACCTTGAATTTCCATCATCTGTAGAATGATTTGGCTCCCTGAGTGCATTTAAAATGCTGAGTGGCTTTGCCAAGAAATTTGCAGCATTTTTTTTCCATGTAACATAAACATTCTTCCTTTCATCTCCCATTCTAATGGCTGAATTTCATCTCAGGTGGGTGTTAAGCATCTCACCTGTTTGACACCATATTCAAAAGCCTTCTGGGCTAGTCTGCCAGGCCCCTCCACAGTTTTCCCATCATCATTAGGGCCCCAGCTTGCACTGTAAATATCCACGTGTCCAGGGTTGAATCCAATGGAACTGGCCTCAATAGCATCCGTCACTATGCCATCCAACATCCTTATGCCTGGACAGCAAAATGAAAAAGAAACAAATAGGAAGGCTGATGTCAGTGTGTACACAGAAAAGCAAACAGTTTAATACGTATATTTTTAAGGGACTCCTAGAGTCAAAAAAAATGTGACACTGGATGTCCCCAATGCCTGTGACTGGCTACTAACAGCACAATCAGTGCCCTTATAAACTTTCTCGTCTGCCTTGTAGAGATAATAGTATGTACTAGGGCAGCTGTGAATTTTTGTCCCACTCAAGGCTTGGATCCCAGTAATATCCCTGAGGATGAGAGGGAGTAGCGTCCTTGGACAAGAAGTGGCCATGGTGCTGCCAGTGACAAATGTGTTCCCTCTCTCCACTGCCCCAACAAAATGACAGAACAGCTTTCCTGTGGCTTACCTATCCGGCAGCTGTCCCTCAGTGCCCCTGTTCGTGGTGATGATGGTACCATGACTAGCTGTGGCTTGCTCTGTGCTGTGAAAAGGGCGGTGCAGTGTAAACACTGCTGTTTGAAAAGATCTGCTCACAACAGGAAACTAACAAATAGGGAAGAACCCTTGTTTCTAAGCACTGATTAAGAATAACCCAGGGGCCATTCTTTTATGTATTTGTTAAGGAACATTTTTAGGGTGTCTTCCTTTTCTTCTAAATCATCTCAGGATGAAAACATTGCATGGATTTCACTCCTTGAGGGGAAATCATTTTTCATCAGGAGAAGGCAGATGCAGTAGCCTTTCGTGCTTTCCAACAGGCTGTCACTCAGCATCAGGCTCATGAATTCAAGAGCCAGGAGGAGAAAAGCAATTTGGACAGTACAGGCAGCTACCTGGTTATTCCTAGCTTCTGGCTAATAATACAATAGTGTACGGCCTTAGACTTTCACACTATCTTTCACTCATGGGGCAAAGATAAGAGAAGGTGTAATCAGCATGTTCAGTAAAACATATAAATGCTGAGAGAGAGAGAGAGAGAGACAGAGAGAGAGAGAGAGAGAGAGAGAAGCTTAAAAGTGAGTTTAGAAGGGAAAAATCCCAGCTCTACTTTTTAATAGCTGTTGGGATTGTAAGCAAGATACAAAATCTCTCTGCACTTCACTCTCTTCAACTAGATGGTTATGACAGTTTCCACGGCACTGAAGATATTTCATGTGCAGGCACATCCCACAGGCATTACATATGTGAACTTATCCTCCATGCAAGGTGGGCACTGTGATGTGGGCACACGTCACAGGTAGAGAGGCAGAGGCTAGAGACACCCATGGCTTGTGCAAAACCACATAGCTTAGAAGTGGGATCCTGAATTTGAACCCTAAAAAACTGGCCCCTGAATATATCCTGTTAACTGCAGGATATGTTGCCTATGATGTATTGGAAGGTGAGTGATATACAATAGGTACCCATGAATGGAAATTATTGTTCAGACTGGGGCTAGAACATCACAGAATAACAAAGTACATCGGTAGGCTGAGCATCAGAGGCTTTGTATTTCAGGTCTACACTATGAACCAGCTCTTGTTACCTTAAGAAACGTACTTTTGATTCTTCCTCCAAAAACTGAAAACCTGTCATAAACTTTAGCTGCTGAATTCATTAAAATTTCAGAAGTGAAGTCTTTTTCTAGTTGTTTACATAATTTGTGTTTCCATCTTCACTTTCTTTAAATTACCACAGCAGTTTGAATATGATGGTATCCAAGGAATAAAGAACAAGGCATAAACTGAACCTGCTGGTGCAGGCCTGTAATCCCAGCACTCTTAAGGCTGAAGCAAGAGGAGCTCACATTTGGGCCTGGCGTGGACAATTTAGCAAGGCCTTGTCTCAGAGTAAAAAATTAAAAAGGGCAGGGTTGTATCTTAGTGCAAAGGTGCAGGGTTCAATGCCCAGTACCACACACATACACAAAAGTGCTGGTAATCGAAGAGTCTGCTGTACCAGTGTTGCTAGCACACATATTCATTTGTTTTCCAATTCAAAGTACATTCATGTAAAACATGCAGAGGCTTTGCTGTAATTGAATTGCTCCTTAAATAACCTTTTTGTGGTAGTATTTTCTCAAAACCAAACTAAACTCAAATTTATCGTACAACTGTGAGAGTCTGAGGTAGAAAAAATATGAAGAGGGGAAACAATTCCTGCCCTTCTATCAGCCCCTGCCAAGCCACCCTGTGCCCTTTATCATTGGAACATGACTGTGCCGTTAGACCCCTTTCTTCTCCCTGAAGCACACAAAGATGCCATCAGGAGGGTAAGGTGAGCAAAGGATGAGGTACTCTCCCCTGAACCCCCTTGGCCGGAAGTGGCTCTCTCTGTGGCCAGATTTCTCTCTCTACTTTCTTGGGTAGTAAAGTGATAATATCTGCTGTGTTTCAACAGTCCCTATTGATTTGCTGTACATCTTGTAATTTTTTTAATTAAAATGTCCTTGATTACCTTGTGGGAACTTTTTAAAAGCTGTTCTTTGCTAACAAATGAAGAACTACTGAATTGAGAGGCAGGGAAAGTCTACCTAAATTAACATCCTCCTTCTGTTCCCTTAGAAGCATTCAGGAACAGTCCCTCCTACATCAGAACATAGAAAAAATTAGAATTTGTTCAAATGCTGTCGGGTTATCTGTTTTCTCGTAGTTCAGATCCATTGATTGGTTCACAAACCACACTTAAGCCCTGCAGCAAACTGCATGGAACTAATTTCTCCCTCAGGTTGTTGAAAATCCCCTCCTCCACCTACATGGGTGATACAAGCCTCAAATTAAAGGGCCAAAGTACAGGAACAACCCTCTGCTTTACCTCCGACTTTGGAATTGTATGCCACGCCAACCCCACATTTGCGATTATTTGCTTGCATGGCAATTTCTCCTGCGCATCTGGTCCCATGTCTGTGGATTAAAAAGAATTAATTATAGCACATTAATAGGGACCAACATTTGTTTTGCATATGAACCCATGGTGTATGATATATTACCTTTTTGTTGGTTTTGGAACTGGTTTTCTTACTTTTAGCATTAAACAAAAGTTAGTTTTTGATGAAGAACAAAGATAACTAAAGTATGTGAGTGGAAATTCTGGCTTCTACTCTTAACTAGCCATGTGACATTAGATTCATTCCTTACCTTCTAAATTTTGTGAAGATTCCGTGGGCTACCTGTGCAAAGCACTCAGAACTGTGTCTCACATGTATTTAGGAACCTGGTGTGTGGCAGCTCTTAATTGTATTCAGAGAACTCTGACACTCAGGAAAAAATCACAGACATGGCTTCTCCTTCTTACTGTTTTGGTAGTGAAATGTTTCCTTACTTTCTTCCCTAATGACTTTGGGTTAGTACCTCAGGTTAGATTACGCTGCAAAATATGATAGAACAGAACCCTTTTGTAAATCTTCCTTCTCTCGTTTAACTATACATCACATTAAGATATGTGAGGATTTTCTAGTATTAAAGAGGAGTTTGAAATTTTCTCAGGACACTATGGACTAATTGAAAAACAGTGTGCTCCTGTAACTCTGATTGAATCCAGAAACCTGTTTAGGATTAGTTTTGTAGTCAGGTAAATATTTTAGAGTACTTGGTGGGGGGAGGTAGGATTCTTCCCTAAAACACATTAACGCCTATCGCTAAAGCACCAGTTCTGAATTCTGTACATACTGCTCTTTTCCCACCATCAGCATCACTCATAAGGTCCAGTAAGTCAAGAACGTGTTAATGTGAACCCATTTCATGGATTTATCCCAATGTGGGAAAAACTAGGAGTATTGTGAAGGCTACTGGTAGTCTGGGGGAGCCAGTGACCAAATACACTGACACACGGGGCAGAAAGGATTCCATCTGAGCAGCAGTACAAGCCAGCTACTGTTAGACAGTGCTACGCTGGCCATCTATTAATTAAACCTGGCCAGGGATATAAAATACCCAAATTGACTGAGCCATCCAAAGTTACTCTAACTTATCTTTTATTATGAAATCGCAAAGATGATTTCTTGGTCTCCTACCACTGAATGCTACTAACAGTGGACAGGAATTCTAAGCCAGAATCACATAATTTTCTTTAATTCAGGGTTTTCCTGATGTGGAGATATATGCTGTTTCTTCTGTACTTGCGTTTTTCACTTTGAGAAAGCCACTCTCCCTGACTCTTACCTAGGAAGCCGTCTACTCAGATGGTTTTCAAGGACTGCTGCTGATTCTGGGGTAGAGAACTATGTCCTTTCTTGGGACTCTTTAAATCTTAAGTTTCAGATGATCTATATGGATCTTGCTGCCAATCAGACTCTATGGAGAATGAAGCTAATTATAGCAAACAGCACTAGAAAACAGATTGGTTGGTACTCAGGGGACACATGATTTTAATCTGGACTTTGCACTATTGGATCAGAAATAATTTCAGTCTCTATTTCACTTAATCTGTGAGTTAAGATTCTTTTACTGGCAACTACAATCATATTGACCATTAACTGAGAAAAATGTGTACATCTTCACATGGAGAAAGTTATGCCTGCTTTGTTGGTAGATTAACTCTTTGCTTTTGTAGAAGGAAAATTTCAGTTATTATCCTCTGAGAAATGTGTTTCCAAAAGTCACCACTGCTTGCTTTTCAATTTATACATGATAAAAAATAGGGCTCAGAAAAGGAAAAAAATTCACCGCTGGGCCCTTGCTTAAGCCAACAGAGCCAACCTGTTGACAAACATCCCTAACATTGTGTCCCTGTCCAAAAATGATGTGACATGCACTATCTATTTTTTATCTTCACATGATATAACAGTGAAAGAAGCAGTAGGGTCAGGGGTTGGGGGCTGGGGATTTAGCTCAGTGGCATAAGTGCCTGCCTTGCAAGCTTGTGGTCATGAGTTCGATCCCTGGTACCGGTAAAAAAAAAAAAAAAAAAAAAAAAAAAAGAAGAAGAAGCAGTAGGGTCATGGTACACACAGGGCTGAATTCTTTTCCTCCTCCAGTCCTCACTACCCACCTTCACACAGAGAGGAGGAGAGGATCTTATCAAAGTGTGTCTATGTCATTCTACACAGACCCGCAGTTTTTTCTTTTCTAAATTAGACAGTAAAAGAGCCTTCTATCAACTTTGGACAATGGTAGTAAACAAATTGTTTTTTTTTTTTTTAATTCTACGAACTAGTTTAAAGACTACTATTATTTTGGTTAAATATCCTTGTCACATGTGTTATTATCTAGAAAAATAATCTGTAATTGGTATTGAAATACTGAATACAATTTGTGCCAACATAAAAAAAAAGAGTTACCTGCACTTTTTTGATTGTATTATTTAGTGATTCTTCTTTTGATTTGCAGAGAAACATTCATTGTGGTTTCTATTAGTCTCATTTACATGTTGATAAAAATCTGAGGCAATAGAGATAGTTTGAAGAAATAATGCCCTTGGAATTGGGAGATAATAGGTCTCCAATTGCTACCAACACTGACAAAATGGGGCCATTCATTTTGCAAATCTAAGGAATTTATGTCTGACAACATGCTAGAAAGTCAACTCTATTTTTTATTATATCTTCTGATAAATGATAATCACGTTGATGCTGATACCTGGTTGATAGGAGGACTCTAGAAGTGGCTCATTGTGTCATTTCTGAATAACAGATTGTAAACCAGCTCAGAAAACTTATGTGCCTTTGCTTAGGTTCGTATCAGCAAGTCATGCTGATTTCTCACTGCTTCAGGTGCTAAATGAGAAACCTTGATCATCATCACTGTCATCAACATCACTATCACTGCCAGCCTCATCATCAACAATATTTAACATTTTTTGTGTGCCAGGCAGTGTCCAAGAAATCTAAATACTAAACCATGTGAAATCCCTTAATAATCAAATTAGGTAGTAATTCCCTTTTAAAGATGTTAAAATCTGAGCACAAAGAAACTAAATAATTTGTTCAAGAGAACTAAACTATTAAGTGGAAGACCTAACATTTTCTCTCATTCTGACTTGAGTTTCTCTTAACTGCTGGGCCATTTTATACTACCCTATGCAAATGATGGTGAGCCTATGGCATGCATGCCACAATGGGCTGTTTGAAACACTGAAAGCTCTGGACATTTCACCATTACAGCCCTATGTATAGAGAAAACCACAGCCGGCAAAACTCTGGAAGCTCAGAATTTTCAGCCACAAAATAATCATCACTATATGGAGCCTCTGGGAGTTGCTTGGAAAGAGGAAAATGTTGTGATTATCAATGCTGTACTGTAGGATTTCTCCCTTTGGGGAACAGCTAATAGAGAAAACTCGCCAGATTCTGGATCCAGACCCTCCTCAAAGCTCATGTGTTAAGGCTTGATCTCCAGCTTGGTGCTGTGGGGAGATGATGGACTCTTTAAGCAGTGTGCTCTACGGGAAGTTTTGAGGGGCTGAGGGAGTGTCCTTGAAGGGGCCCTGAAAGGAATCTCTTCCTCTCTTTACTTCCTGCCACCACGAAGTGAACATCCTGCTGTAGAGACACACCCCAACCAAGATGAGCTGCCTTGCCAAGGTGCAAAAGCAACACGGCTTACTCACCATGGACTAATAGCTTTAAAATTGTGAGCCGAAATAAACTTTTCCTTTTTTAAAAGTTTATCTTATATTTGTTATAGTAATGCAAAGGTAAATCTTCCTTCTCAAGACCAGTGAATTTCCAGAGAGTGTTATTTTACCAAGTGTTCATATGCTAATGTGGCCACAGCACAAGTTATCACACACTGTGAATCCAGGAGCTAGATTCAGGATCTGTTGAAGAAGGAGCTGCAAAACCTAAGAAAGAGGCTGCTGTCTCCAGCCTCCTCTGCTGCACCTCCTGGCTACAAAAGATCTCTCTCAGTTTTAATAAGTGGTAGAATAAAAGTTGTTGTCCTCATACCATTTGAAGAAGGGTATCCCAATCTTACTGTCCCATTTCCTCAGGAAGCTCCTTTCAGAAATGTAAGGAGCAAATATCTTATCACTCCACTTATAGAAGAAAAACCAAACCAAGCCAAACCAAACCAAAACAACCCCCAAAACATAGGAGAGACAGAGAGAAGCAAGTGGTCTACCTCACATCACTCTTTCTACTGGTAATTGGCAAAGCCACAACTACCAGTGAGGCTGACATTACAGAGATGTGCTCCAAACAAGTAGATGCTCTTACTGGACATACACTATGCTGACCCAGAAATACAGCTCTAAGTTTGTCCCTGTTATCACCCAACACACTCCCACTGTGCTCCAAAAGTGCCTCCCCAGGAATTCCTACTATTCTGTTACTGAATGTTCTAACCTCTAAGGAGTAGTGTGGTTAGCCTCTTTACTCAAACTCTTGAAGATGTACATGGGAAGGAAAGAAGTAGCTCTTCTATGGCTCTCTTCTCATTTAAGGAAAAAATATACACACAGAAGTTGGGGTCAAGTCTGTGTGGCTCCCTTTTGGAGAGGCACCATCCAAAGAAAGGAACAAGGTTAAGCCAATATTACTGTACCAGCCCCATGGAAGGAGAGATACAGAGAGAAAGGTGAGTGACCTAAGTTGGTTAACAGTCCAAGAGACAGCCATGGAGATAGAAAAAGGAAGCACTTTAGCTTCCTGTAACATCTATCTACAGCTTTTTAGGTGCTTCACTCATTCCATCCCTATTGATAGCAAAAACCCCTGGTTTTGACCTTGAATTTTATCTGTTTTGGTGCACTTTCTCTAGGTTGGGGAAAATGAACAGGAAATCTGAATGTCTCCTGGAATTTAGGATAAATGTCAGTATGAACGAAGATGAGTTCTCATTTGAGCATGGACACTTTGAGCCCATGTGCCTGGAGCATGAAGTTTTTTGTAGCTGGGAGAGAAGGTTAAGTCTCTGTTTGATCACTTTCCTTGGAAGGCCTGGGCCTTGGCTTCTGTTATTCCTTATGACTGCAATGGGAAGATGTTGTTCTAAGAAATAGATGTCCCCTTTCTCCTCCCTTGTCCTCACACCTGTCACAAACTGGAGCATGACGCTGCACTTCAAAGCCCTGGAGGTTATGTTGGACTTGGAAGCCGGGTCTTAGCTGGATTTCTTTTGTGTGGTATTTGGTCACATACTTTTGGGGAAACTGGTGAATGTAGTTGTGACCACCACAGAAAGTTGTGGGAGTTGTCCACTATATATATATATTTCTTTTCATGGCTAATATCAAGTATGTTGCAAATAATATAAGAGTCATGGAGGAATTGGTGAGGACTGAAAGTTTATACTTTTTATGGCCCAAATATTCTTTCAAAAGCTACAAGTAGTCAGTAACCCCTGAAATGATAATTTAATTATTTAAGAAGCTTATTTTGCAAAATATGAGACTATAATCTGAAGATAATCTAGAAACAAAACTTTTGTTCCTGTTTTAAAGGCATTGAAACACTGTGGTATGCACCAACATTCTCTGAGAGGTGAAATTACACAAATTTATTGTGCAATTCTCTCAAATGAGGCAACAACATTTTAAAGAACTTTATGTTTACAAAATTTACATTTACTCACTTGTTCTCATTTGTGGGATCATATCGGGGAAACGGATCATGATCATTATCATTAAAGTCATAGCTAGCCTCTGGATCCTAAAGAAACAACAAACATAACAGAGTAGCATCATAAAAAGCAGTACCCTTACCACTTTTTATTACTGCCTGTTCCATCCTAGTAGATTCCTAGTAGATAGCTCAGAAACTTACATGTCTGAGCTTTTGGTCTGGTCACTGAATATTTGTTGTACCCAAAAAGCAGGTAGCAAAGATGAACACAACAAAATAATCAGCAAAACATCCACGGTTTTCTGGGTTCAAACACCTCACTTCTCAAATGAGATTAAGTGAGGCTCTGAGAAGTTCGATAACTTATCTAAAACTATGGTGCTAACTACTGGTCTTCTGGCACTTATCTCTTGCAATTCTAAGTGCAAAGAAGTAGCTACAGGATAGAACTCCTCAGATATACTAAAAAATGTAATTTAATAAAAGAGAATGTACTTGAAATTACTGCCACGCTTCCAGATCCTATTCCATTTTCTGAACAAATTGCTACACTTAAAACATCTCCCACATAGGTCTATCACCACTTCAGCTAATTTCATAATTTTCCATATCTCTCAATTAGTTATGATTTCTGCCCTGTATTAGTCTCTTTACATCTTTTTTTTTTTTCCTTTAATTTTTCTCTACTCTTCAACTTTGAGTTATGGCAAGGGAATGTTGTTTGGGTAAAAAGGGTGAGAGAAAGATAAGGGAGAATCTTATCGAGGAAATACTCACTACCCTGATATAAAGACCCAAGATAAATCATGGAGCTCATGTTACATTATGAGCCTCACAAACAATTAAGTACAGTTTTCAAGATTTATTTTCCCACTTCTAGTAAATTTTTCCTTTTGCAGTTTGGCATTTTTCCACTGAGTGGTGTTTACTTTGAATTTGCATGAAAGGAATCACATTTACGCAATTTCACAATGTCAGGGACAGTGACATGAAAGATGTGAGAAGAAGACTGTGAAAATGACCTCACACGTCAGGTTTGATTTGATTGTTTCATTGTCCCAGACACCAAGTGGTTCGAAATCCAAATGTCTTTTAATAATTTAATTCATGTGAGTAACCACTCTCCCAACTTTCCCAACACTCCTGAGTTTGTATAACCCTTAACCTCATTCAGACCTACACCCACTTGTGCTAAACAAGTTCATATGGGCTGATAGGAGGGTAACAACAGGAATAAAGCATTGGCCTGCTGTCCCCACAGCAGACTGACATTGAAGCAGAATCCCCCTCAAAAGGATGAAAAGTTCTGCATGTCTACATTGACAGCTCCATAAGTCACAGTCCTAAGACAGCTCACTTACATAATTGGCATAAATGTCTGTGTGATTCCACTCCAAACCGTCATCCAGTACAGTGAGAACAACTCCTTTGCCTGTAATGCCCTTTTGCCAAACAGGTATCACATGAAGATCCAGCTTGGGCAAAATTGCCGTCATCCTGGTATCTTGCTGGTAATGAAAGACAAAACAAGCATTAGTCAAACCATGATTTAATTGATACACAATGAAAATTCAAACTCCAGTTGTTAGCCCCCTGTTTTTCTCCTCTTGGATCAGTGTAGTACTTAGAAGAAGGCAATTAGGTCGAATGAAAAACAAACCAAAGGATAGGGCAAAATGAATCATAGAGTCCTGCTCGTCTCCCAATTGTCCCAATGGAAAATTACTTGAAAAGATGAATCATTCTAGGCCTCTTGTCTTTGAACTACATGGATTAAAAGAAGTTTGTCTCTAAGTTTCTTTCATTTATGATAGCATGCTCCAGCTCTTCTTCTACTTAAGTGTCATTTGGTACTCTGTGTTTTCGTCTCCCCCAATGTCCTCTGCCTCTGTTGCTATGTGGAGCACTCATTACATCTTCGGATGCACAGTCATTTAGGGTTGTTTTATAGCTTTCTCCTAGAGGAAAAATCAGAACCCGGAATGCTGACGTGACTGTGGTCTTCCAAGAACTTTGACTTTTAATGTTTACTTTTTATTATGTGATATAGTCCACAGAATGCAGATGAAAATTTTTATAAGTGAGGAAAGTGTGTGTAACTTTCATGCTGTCTGGGTTTCAGCCACCTTCTGGGAAACCACCATGTATGTGTTCAAATATCCTGAAAGCTTTCTGAATCCTGTCCTTTTGTGGTTTTATGGCAATTCATTGCGTAGCTGGTACAGTGGCTGTGGTGTAGAAACAAAGAAAGACCTGTCAGTTCAGCTTCCTCTCAGAGGAATTGCAATCCATTGCCTATTTCTTTGTATGGATCATTTAGGGAGTATCTAAGAGAGGAGACTGAGTTTTTCTTTCCAAATAATTTTTCTGATATAGTTAGTGTGGGACTGTCTGGAGAAGAGCTGGGCGGCCAGGAAACACAGACATAGGTACATTTCCAAGCATATAGGAGATGTAGTAGGGTGTCAGGAAACTACTGAAGGGGTCAAAGAGAAATTTAGAATTAACAACAGTTGAAACTACAAGTGAATGTCCTGTGCCTTCCTGATGTTCCTCATAAAAAGGTGGGCAGTGGGTGATGTGAAGTCGAATCATAGGAGGTTAAAACCACATATGAATTGTTGGCCAAAGCTGGACAGCAAGGTCTCTATGTTAACCACAGAACAGTTTTAAAGTGTGATTGTTAATATATTCCTATGGGTTTGAACCACAGTGGGTACATGCATGACTGTCCCATCCAATGAAGATTAGATGAGTTAATTCATAATGAACACTTGCAATAGTATTTGGCACACAGTATTTGTTCAACAAGTGTTAGCAGATAAATGTTATCAGCTGCAATAAGCAAGTAACTTTTGCTTAGTTGAAGTAAAGGCAAGAGGAATCGATCTTTTTGGATGAAAACTGGTCTCCTTATCTATCCATTATGCAATGAAACTGTTTAAGCCTTTGCTTCTGGATGTCATGATAATTTATCTTTTATCAAATTTTTATTATTTTTATTAAATTTATCAGTAACAAATCCTTTTAATAACATGTGTTACTACTGGAGAGTTTTAACACTAAAACAGAAACAGGCCAGCAACAACACATACAATTACTTGGCTCTGTGCCCACACACCCACAAAGATTTGTTAAATATCTTAAATATAGTGTAGCTTGCAGGTCTAGACATTTGCAAATACATTTCCTTTGTATGACTTGCTTTAGCTTTGTTCAGAAATTGTTTCCTGTAACACATGAGATTGTCATCCAGGATTCATATACCTATGTTTACTGTACTCTGAATGATTTAGAAAGTTCTCAAGAATAAATTTAAAGAACAGTGCTTTTTACCAAGAGTGCTGCTTTTGGAACTTTTAAACTGGTAAGATTCTTTTGCATTTATCTCAGATAAGCCTAAGAAGTAAAAGGACACATGACCAAAAGCAAAACAAAACAACTAACAAGACCTCTCTTTATAATAGGGGAAGATCTATTTCAGGCATCCTCACTTAAGCCAAAAAAAAAAAAAAAATCCAAATCAAGAAAGTTCCACCAGTCCTAATCGCCAAATAATACATTACTGCACTCCGTAGAATGAGAAATAGAAAGGAGGGAAGGAGAGAGAGAGAGAGAGAGAGAGAGAGAGAGAGAGAGAGAGACAGAGACAGAAACAGAGACAGAACCAGAGAGACAGAGACAGAGACAGAGATCTGTAATTGTGCAGATAATGTAATGGTATAAGATACCAGGCCCAGATCCCACATGGTCCTTCCCCAGATATTTACCAAGTACCACTGCTGATTCCACATTGGATCATTGAAGAGATTTAGTGCTGAGTCTCGTAGAACTGAGCGTTTGCTTCTCTCTTTCTCATACTGTTGTTCAGCCCATGTGACCTATAGAGATTTTGAGCACAAGACACTTACATACCAAGTAGCACTCTTTGTGGCATCATTTCCTTCTATCTATTGCCAGTATCCTTGTCATCAGAACTCAGGCTGCTCTGCAGTGGTTTTGTTTGAACACGTATCAAATTGGCAGCTCAGTGAGAAGAATGGGATTGCCCACTAGGGATGAGCATTTTCCCTATTACCGTAAAATGTATCATTAGAAGAGAAGAAGCAGTCAGTGAAATGATGATTCCCTCAAATTATTTACACTGTGGTTTCAGCAGAGGTTTGAGCCTGCTTTCATCAGAAAATGGACAATCACTTTGTTTTTATACCAAAGACCCAGTGCCCTATAGCTGAAAATGTGTCTGTTTTCATGGAACAAGTAAGTCAACAAGCTAAGAGATCACAGAGACTGCTGTTATAGTGTTCTTACAGCTGAATTTCTCTTTCTTCACAAGAAAAAAGATAGACATTGAAAATGTTACACTACCCAGGAATGGGGCTGTGTCTTTGCAAATTCACAACTCTGGCTCCACTGTGATTTAACCTCCTGCCTGAGTATTTAATATGAGGAACATTTCCGGGGTAATGAATGAGCATTACTGACCAGGCACACATGCCATCAATTCAGTCTCATGTATTATGCAAAGAGATCTGACAACATGAAAATTACCTGGGCTACATTTATGTATGCAGTCCTATTAGATTCAATGCCCTGAGAGAGTGAGGGGCTCCTTTATGTTTATAACCATTAGGAAACAATGCTATGCTCTTATTTTGCTGGGCGAAATAACTATTTCCTACCCAAAATACAGTTTTTCCATTGTTGAATTCATAAGGGTGCAGGGCAAGGACAGGGAATACTATTGATGTGAGAGCCCCCAGAAGTCATATCTGAAATTTTAAAAAAACTGAAAAATAATTTGCAGCTAAAGGATCAAAACTATCCACTAAGATGGTCTTGAATTTTTAATTAGAAAATATAATGCAAACCTATTATACACACTGGGAGGGATTTGACAACTAGCAATTAGTCACTACAATTTATTTTTAAAGTACTTGTATTTAAAAGTATAATTGTTTTGGCTTAAAATGCCTCAATGCTAGGAATACACTGCCTATCATGTAAGTTGGTCTTTGGAAACTGGCTGCCAGGGAACGAGTCTTTGTGGAAGAGGGCCACTTAGAGTTGGAGATTTCATTAGCAGGCTTATGAAGACAGACTATTGCTCCATTTCACAGGGCTGATTTGAAAGAATATTATCCCCCATCAAAAAAGAGCAATAAAATGAAAATCAAGAGTAGCTTTTTAAAATGGAACATAAAAAGAGACACTCTGCAATCTGATCAGATAAACAGTCAATTGTAGAAAACAGTGTTCTGATTAATGTCATTAATTCAGAATTGCATACTAATCTCTGGAAGAGCGGGCCAAATGGAATAGAGAAAATTGATGGTGTCTTCTAATTATGTATAGAATGGGCACCATGTACTTGATTATAAATAATCCTTTTCAGCTGCAAATCACATTAAAAATCATCTAATTCAACCTTCCACTGAAGCTTCAATGACTCCAGCATTTTTTCTAAAATAAAATTACTTGGGGGCTTATTTTTCATATGATTACATAAGCTAATTTTTATAACATAATTTTGAAAAGTAAATGCTTAGTTTTTAAAAATAATGTCCTGATATTCCCCTCAAAATTAACCACCAAAGAGATAGACAAAGAATGGAACTGGACTGTCTGTTCATTTTCATGGGAAACTTGAGTAAGGAAAATATTTAGGTACTCCGTACTCTGTCCAACTTTTGCTATGCAGATGACAAGGAGGTCAGGTGTGGCTTGCTTGTCTATTAATATTGAGCACTCATTTAGGCAGAGAAGGAAATACCTCTTTCCCTGCCCAAGGAATAAGCTTAGCCAGAGTGCTGGAAGATGCCCTGCTTTTCAGAGACTATATACAATCAGCCATCTGTTTGAGTAAAGAAAAAATCTTACTGGGTGAGAAAACTTTTAAAACAAGCTTCATGGTCTCTGACTTGTCCTACATGTAGACCCAACTGAGCTCAAAGATCTAAGAATGCTTATGCAAGAGCTACAGGGTCCCTGTCCATGGTCCTGACACAGCAACTTTGTCAATATGGTTGATTCTTTACAATTGTATACTGGTGACCACATCCCCGTCATATGCTATCTTTCTAATTTGTCTTTTACTTATTCTTAAAGTTCTCTCAGTTGCATAACAAATAAAACAGTAAACTATTTTATCGAATTCATGAATTCCATGTACTTTCAACTGTTACATCATGTTTTTGTCTCCTATTCTCCCCCGCCCTCTGAGATGTTGATAGGATGCTTTGTGTTTCTCACTATAACGCTCCAAGGTGTCCTAGGCAACAGAAACCACATACACAAATATTACTCCAAACTGGATAAATTTTTCACAGTATGGTTCAGTCTTGAGAAAAGGCAAATTTCCACAATCTCAATGTAGTCAACATTTTTTAAAATACATATACTGACCTTGAAGAGACTTCAAAAATCAATGGGCATATTAAATATACATTCAAATTGTCTCCATTCTGTTTACCTATATTTGCCCTAGATACTTTCTGTCTTTGTCTAATCATGAATGATATACAAACTAGGGTGAAAAGATACAAAATGATTTGATTCAACAGTGCAGTGTACTTAGGGAAACATTTACTTCATAAAGACATGAATTTAGAGCTCTCTAATTAATGCTAACATATTTCTAGAAGTGCAAATGCTAGGATATTTTCTAGTTATATTGAAATTTATCAAAAGCAAAGTTATAGATTTACTTGGCATCCTACATTGATATTGAAGTGCTTGGCATATAACAGGAATGTAGCAAAAGATGACTGAGGCCAGGTATGGTGGCCCACGCTTATAAATCCCAGCACACTAGGAGGCTGAGACAAGAGAATTCCAAGTTTGAGTCTATCCTTGGTAACTTAGAAACTTAGCAAGACTCTGTTTCAAAATTTTAAAAATAAAATAAAATGGTCTGAGGATGTGGCTTAGTGTAAAGGTCCCGAGTTCAATCCCCAGTACTCCCCCACCAAAAAACACCATTGATTTTATTGTCAAAATGCTCATTAGTACTACAGCTTCCTATTAAAGATTCAAAACCAAACCACTATGTACATACATATGCAATATGTTATATAACTAATGTATTGTGTATACAGTTAACTTTCATTAACTGTTTAATGCAATCTTGTTATTACTATATGTAATGATAAACATATGAAAAGAAATTAGATACATTAGAAGTAGAAAACAATGATTAGGCTTTAAAAAGCATCATATTTTCCAGATACTTTTGCTTTTTTTAGGTATCAACAAAAGCAAATATGTGAAGAAAGAAACACAACACTTACACGATCATCGTCAGATAATCTCTTAGTGATATGTGGGGCACTTCTCCGAGACCTTCTGGGATGGTTTTTATGTTTAAATAAATAGTAATTTTCAAGTGATCCAATCTGTATAAAAAAAAAGAAACTAAAATAAAAATCCACTTTCCCTAACAGATATGTATGGATTAGTTAAAAGCCACTAATATAGAGACAAGTAACTTTTATTAAGCCCATGCCTGGTTCCTTGAAGTCAGCTTCTCTCTTTATGAGAAAAGCCCTAACACAGATTTAGGTGACCCTCAGAATATTATTACTTGAGTTTACAATACACTTGGACAAAGGTGATACTTCTGTTTTACACATTTTAATAGAATTGGCTTGGTTATTCTGCATGTGGAAATAACATATAGGTAGATACTTCTCAAGAAAAACCCATCTAAGTGAATGTATCATATTAGAAAATATTTTTGCAAAGCAAGCAAATCTCTTTGGTGACACTGATGACCAGTACCACATCAAGATATAAAGTCATCGGTGGTATAAAATGCAAATGATTAAATCTATAGTGATAATTATTATCAGCTATTATTGATGATCTCTTCATTTTCCACTAGTTCAAGGCTTTCAAGAAAAACACTTCAAATTTGAACAGGTACCCCATTCTAAGGTGTGTATAACTCTCTGAGTAACTATCGGTAATTTTGGTCCCTTTAAAACCATATTCATTATTTTTAAACTGGTTTCTATTTGCACAAAATGATACTAAATTTGAAGCCACCAAATTTCCTAGATGCACTGTATTTTTAAAACTAAGAAACAATGTATTTCATAAGAAGCCCATTCTTTTAAATTAGGAGTTCTCATCCACTAGACAAATTTTAATAGAGATGCCTAGGTTCAGCTCCAAGATTAAACCTTAGGTAATGGATCTTCTGTAAGTTGTGTCTGGATTTGGAGAGAGAGAGATCTGAAGCCATAGGAAAAGATCACAAGTGTCCAGATTTGTTTATGCTGTCAACTGGATGTTTTACTTCTTGTCTCTACCTTAATTTTAGTTTTATCTTGAGGCCATAGTCTTTTATAATAGCAATGCTAAATGAGTATATTTTATCAATGCTAAATAAAAGAGGGAAATAAGTAGCATCAAGAAAGCATTCTCAGTATTTTTTTAAAATGTATTTTTAAAACTTTTCTTGGTAGTTCCACTTTAAGAATGAGTAAAGAAGACATCACTTGCAAATCATATATAAATATAGGTGGCTTCCTTTCACTATTTATAAGTGATTCTTATGACTCACCATCCACATCACAAAGTTCCTCAAAAATACTGACTTACTGGGTGGGTTTTTTTTTGGGGGGGGGAGGGTTTTACTTCTAATTCATAATTTTTTTCTTGGAAATTAATTGCCATATAGAGTGGTTCACATTTGGAGGTGCTTGAGGCTAATAGGTGAGACAAAAAGAAATTTACTTTTCACTTTCTCTGTCAGTTTCCTGCTATGCATTTTCCAATGCTTTTTAGCCCATTGGATACAAGATTAAATCCTCGTTCCCACTCCCCATAGGACAAACAAGATGCCCATGATGCCTGTAGTACCCACCAATGTATTTCCATCTGCCACTCACTTTTTTGATTCCCTCCAAATTTCCAACACTAGTATGCAGTTAGCAGACTAAGCTGTTCGGATCTCCTTTTCCCACAAGCTGCTTTCTGTGCCTGGAATGCGTTCTCCAATCTCATCCTGTTCTGGCAACCTCTGACTCTTCTTCCTAAACCCTGTGCCAATGTTACTCTTTCGAGCAGTCTCTCATTCCTCCCAAATTCCCTTTCTCCTTCTTTTCTTTGGTTAAGAAATACAGTATTAAGACTCCAAGGACTTCTGTTACACAAATTGCATTCATTTGCAATGATTTGTATCTAAACCCAGCCTCCTCTAAATTTTGGATTCCTTGTGAGAGTTTCTTTTTCTCTTGTTATTCCTTGGCCCTAACACAGAGGCTGGCCCTGAGAAAAGAAAGGGTTATGCAAAGACAAAGCAAGAAGTCAGTCAGCTACTAGACACTGCAAAGTCGATTTGGGTTTTGACTTTCCTGCCTGGCATTTCAAAAGCAGTTTGGCTTACAAAGTTGCAGAATTAAGCCTCTAGCCAGAGAAGGCGTATTTCCCCAGCGGATTCGATCTATGGAATCGCCAACGCCCACGCTGATTACTCATCCATGACTTCAGCTGTGTCTCAATCACCACCTCCAGAAAAAAAAAAAAAAAAAACGCGCCAAAATGTTTTACAACTCCCTCCACCCCCGCTGCGAAGCTGAACAACTTTCAAGGCTGGGAGTGAGGGCTTCATTTTGAATCAAGTAAAGGAAAGATCTAGATTAGATGTCACCCCTCCCCCTCCCTCCGGGGTCTTGGAATCGCTCAGCCTAGCAGGTTCCCTCTCAGTGCCTTGGGGGCCTCTCTCTCTAGCCAGCTATTAATCCATCCTAGTTGGACAAGCAGCACTTTCCCTTGTGAGCTGCAACCTCCAGGGAAACGATTACGCACTCGAATGAGCCACACAAAGGAAATAGATCCTTTCCCCATAGTTAGTTCGGCCACTGGACCCTGTGGGGGTTCTGGCCCAGCAAAGTTATGAAGCTTGGACTTTACAAGATCCCAGTGAAAACCCGAGGCTGCCCGGAAAAGCAAAGAGATCCTCCCGCCTCTTTCACCTACCTTGTCGCCCGCCAGCTTCTCAGGCCACTCTGTGGCCCCCCAACCTCCAATGCGCTCGTACTGGCGGCTGGCGCTCTTCCAACACTCCGGGCGCGCCCCCAAACGCTGCGGGCGAACATCACCAAGCCTGCTCCGCCAGGACTTGGATTTGATGCTGCCATATTGAAAGGACCAAAAGGGCCGGCTCCTGACGCAGCCCGCCTGAGTCCCCGGAGACTGAGCGCACTGCTTCTCCCAGGGACGCTCGGCTGGTGGGAGCTTGTGTGCATCTCAAGTTCCCTGAACAAGCGTGGAAGGATTTTTCTTCCAAACTGCGCGGGAACAGATTTCAGCACGAAAGCGGACAACAGCAAGCAGCTCTACCCAGCTGCAGAGGCATCCTCTGCCTGACTGCGCCCAGCCCAAACAGTAAATAATGCAAGCCTTCTCCGCTCTTCAAGCACGCCCGGGGCGAGAGCTGGAGCAGCTCCTCGCTCCTGGTCCCAGTGAGCACAGCAGAATGCAACGTGGGGCACCCCCTTGGGAGACCACGCTCCAGTCCCACCATCTCCCTTGAGCCCAGAAAGTTTCTTGAAAGTATGAACTCTTACCTGACCCAAAAGGTCATAGCCCAGCTCCTCCGCGATGGCTGAAGCAGCTTCCAGGCCCCCCGGCACCTCCGCCGCCCATTCATTGACAAACTGCCTCTTGGCTTTTACACTGTTCAGTGCACACCAAGCGCAAAAGAGAGCAAAAGCAGTGCACTGCAGACTCCAGGCTCTCCTCTCCATGGCTCTCGCACACTCACTCATACACAAGTGGGAAGGAGAGAGAGAAAAGAAGCAATATAGGAGAAAGCCAGCCACCTCGATCTTTCTCCTCCTCGCGCTCAGAATCACTCCTGGTCCCCGTGGCTCTGGAAGAGCTGGGAGGCGCGGGAGCAGAGGCCGGGCGGCGGCGAGTGCTCAGTGAAGCGCTCGGTCTCCCGGCTGAGAGGAGCCCCAGCCCTTCCCAGCCAGAATGGAAATGAGTGTTTACACGTCAAATCGACGAAAGCCATCTCTTGACGTCAGATCTACCTGGACTAAGATCTGTATGGTATTCCCGGCGGGGTGGAGAAGAGACTAAAATAAGCTGCGAAAGGATTAAGGAAAGGAAGAAACAGTTTGCTGGGATCAGTTCATTCTGCTCCCTGTCTGCAGCTGGGAGAAACATCTTCACTTCTCCAAGAGAAGTGCCCCATTTGAATGTAACTACCAAGAGCCAAAGGCACACATCCCCTCTCTGCCATCTATTTTCTTTGCATTTATTTTATTATCCCGTGTGTATGCATGGGCTGGGGGTCGGGTGGAAAGTGGGGGGAGGGCGATTCTGATAACACCCTTTGGGTATCAAAACCTGCTATGAAAAACAGAGCTCTCAGATCCTTCAAACTGATCAGAGATGGGGGGAGCTGCCCAAATTCTGCTCTAAATCACCTAAGAAAATGAGCCCATTTCCAAGACAGTTTGAAAGCAATACTGTTGAAGATGAGTTACTAACCACTCAAACCACCTTAGTTTGTAAGTTTACTTCCTGGTATCCTATAGCTAAACCCCGATAAAACAGTGTCTAAAATTGTCCAGACAGGGCACCACCAGCACTACAATGCTTAATAAAAAAAAAAAAAAAAAAAAAAAAAAAAAAAAAAAAAAAAACAGTCCCATGATTTTTAAAAGCAGAACATTATTTTTAAATTTATCAACAAAGTTGTCGTGGGCTCCCCATGCTGTTCTACTGACTCAAGGAGGGAAATAGCAGGCTTGATTAACCCTGAATTTTCCACAATTCCCACATTAGCGCTTCACTTGAGTGCTGCACTAAAGCCACGCCACTACTTTTCCACGAAAGGCACAACGTGTCTTCCTGGAAGAATGCTTTCCCGTGGAAGGAGAGCACGCGAACATCTGCTTGTACTGTCCACTCTACCTGAGAGAAATGAGTTGAGTCAAACAGGGCGGAACCTTTTCAGAACCTGAGGTATTTTCTCGGCAAGAGATACCGCAGTATCTAATATTCAGCACCGAGGTCTGGACAGCGACGCGCGCCCCCGCGGCAGCAGCTGCCTTCCCTTCAGATCCCCAAAGATCGCCGCCGCTCTGAAGTTGGCCGGCTCCCAGCTGCTTGCCTTTTGCCGTGTTCCTTTCTCCTCCTTTGAACAGCAGTAGGAAACTGACCAAAGGGAGTGTGCGTTAGGTTCCCGAGGGTGACTACTTGCGCGTTGCCCACGGGAACGCGTCGGTCTAAATAAACCCAAAAGTGAAATTTCAGGGGGAAAAAATGACCCAGTGTGTTGCTTCTGAGATTTCTCTCTCTCTTCTCTTTTTTTTAAAACTCTCAACCGCAGGGGGGTGCAATGTAGTCTAGAGAAACAGAAGAGGGAGCAGATTGGAAAAGAAGGCTTGAGGACAGTTGGGGGGGGAAAGGAAGTAAGGGACTTGTTTAGGAAGAGCCAATGAGACAGGATTTGGTGGAGCGTGAGGCTCCCAAGTGCTAATTCTTCATTTGCCTTCGTGTTTGCAGAAACGTGAATTGGTCTGGTAATATCTTTCAGCATAAAGCCTCTTTACACACAAACAAATGCCAAATTTAATAAGACATCTGATGCGGATAAGTGCTGTGCAATGATGTTATGCTCACATGAGACGTGGTGGAGTGGGCCCAGATGGATGGCTCTGTTGTCTGCTCTGTAAATCTACGTGTGAGTGTGCATGGATGGGTGAGTTGTCTTCTTTTTATTCTTCATGCCTCACTCTGAGCTGTGGCCTCAAGTTCTCCACGGTATTTCATTCTAACAGTAGACAGATGCTAATTTTGGGCTAGCAAGGCAAAGGGGAACCTGTGGCAAATGGTTAATAGTAGTAGACATGGCCAGAGCAGGAATGTATTTGTCCATTTCTTCTTATTGTTCCATTAAAACAGCTTAGCGATGGGTGGGCAATAAAGTCAGCATCCTGCTAAGGAAACATTTGTCTTAAATGGAGCTACATACAAACCTCAAATAAACATTAATCTGATAATAGGGTAAATTAAATTCTCACAGAAAGAATAAAATATCCTTATCCACACAATAAATACTCAGTGTATTTGAAAATGGCATCAGTTGTGCCTAATTCGACACAACTTCTGAGATGCAGATGAAATGAATTTTGTCCAGGATAAGAGTATAAAAATATTTAGAATTTATCCTAACTTTTTCATATCAATGGCTAAATCTATCCTCACAATTGTGGTTGTTAAACTTGATTGTGTCAACAAAGTTGGCTTAGGAGCCACTCAGGAGATTAGTAAACACTTCTGGGAGTATCTAGGTGGGCCTTGGAGGCTTTTCCTTGGAAATTATATCTGGTCCCTCATCCTTTCTTGTCTCAAAATATTACATTGTATTGCTTCCTGGTCACCATGAACTAAGCATCTTAGTTACACCATACCCTAATGCCATAATGTTTATTCCTTGGAGCAAGCCAACCACTGACTGGACTGAATTCCCTGAACTCATAAACCTCTCATTTTTTTTTAAATTTTGGGTGTCCAGGAGCTGGGGATTTAGCTCAGCAGCACAAGCACTGGCCTGGCATGTGTGAGATTGTGAGTTTGATCCATGGTACAAAAAAAAAAAAAAAAAAGTGGGTGTCCAGTATTGTGTTCCAGGGATGCAAAAGTTGGCAAATAGGTCTATCCATATATTTTACAGTGTGCATTAGAAACACCAATGAATTATCCCTAAATCAGTATTACTAGTTTCTTGGACCTGAGTAATTTATATAAAACACAAAGATAATCCAGAAATCAGACAGGATTGTGTTTCTACTATGAGTTATTTTTTTATGGAAAAAAAGTAAAACACAATTTCATGACAAAATAATATGAGAATAACAATAGTTAATACATTGCATATTATTACCTTTAAAGTCATTAATCAGAGTATAAGATATAGGAATAAAAAATCATTCGGATGATAGTAGCACAAACCTTCCTTTTGTATGATCTAAGAGACACTAATATTATAACTAACTTGCATTTTTCTCCCTTTTCCCTTTCTTTCTTTCCCTTTTCCCCCAACCACTTTGATTTTTCCTTTTAAACAATTTCTTCCCACTTCACAATACATTATACATTTTAGACCTTACTTACTCTTTCAATTTCCCACAAAATGGATATAATATAATGTTTATATATTTGAGTCTGACTTGTTTCATTAATGAGTATGGTCTCAAGTTATATTCATTTATCTGTAAAATTCTCAAGTTTATCTTTCTTTATGACTGAGTAGTACTCCACTGTATAAAAATATCACATCATTTTTATCCATTCTTAAATTGATGGGCATTTGGATTGCTTCCAGAAATTTGCTATTGCAAATTATGTTGCTGTAAGCATTGTTGTACATATATCACTGTGATATGATGCTTTTAATTCTTCTGGGAAAGTACTCAGAAGGGAACTAGCTGGGTTGAATGACCCTTCTGGTCTTAGTTTTCTGAAGAATCTCTACACTGATTTCTACAGTGGCTGTACCAGTCTACACTCCTATCAACAGTGGGGAAAGGTTCCTTTTTACCCTCTATCATCTGTTATTGGTTGATTTCTTGATGATAACCATTCTTTCTGGAGTGAAATAGAATCTCAGTGTTGTTTTAATTTGCATCTCTCAAATGACCAATGAGGTTGAACATTTTTTCATATATTTATTTTCCATTTGTATTTCTTCATCTAATAAGTTTGCATCTATCTTCAATGCTCATTTTTGGATTGGGTCTTTGAATTTGGGTTTTTAAAAATTCTTTATATTTTACATAGAAGTCCTTTATCTGAGAGCTGATTGGCTAAATTTATTTCCCATTCTGTGGATTGTCTTTTCACTCTGTTGGTGATTTTTTTGGTGTGCAAAAGCTTTGTAATAAGATGAGATCCCAGTTATTGAATCTTTGGAATCATGCAGTTTGGGTTTTATTCCTGAACTCTCTGCCTACCCCTGTGTCTTCAGGATTTCTACTTTCTCTTCTAGTAGATTTAGTGTTTCTGTTTTAATATTTAGATCTTCGATGCATTTTGACTTTAATGCATTTTAGTGGTAGACATGGGTCTAGTTTTATTTTTTGAATGTAAAAAGTCAGTTTTTCCATCACCATTTATTGAAGAGACTTCTTGCAGTGATCATGTTTGACCCCTTTGACAAAGATAAGTGGCTGAATATGTTTATAGTTCTGCCTGCAATTTTTATTCTGTTCCATTGATCTTCAGGTCTGTTGTTTTGGCAGAACCGTGCTGATTTTATCCAGTAGCTTTGTAGTATAATTTAATGTTGGGGATTGTGATGCCTCCTGCCTTGCCTTTGTTGCCCAGGATTGCTTTTGATATTATAGGTCTCTTCTAGTTCCAAATAAATTTTGCAAATATTTTCTTTAGTTCTGTGAGGGATGTTAATGTATTTTGATTGAAATTGTATTAAATCAGTATAAAAATTTTTGGAGTACAGCCATTTTCACTATGTTAGTTTTTACTATCCGTGAGCAAGGGATATCTTTCCATTTTCTGATATCCTCTTCATAATTTTCAATGTATGGATCGTCTACTTCCTTTGTTAGATTTATTACTAAATATTTCATTTTTTGGATGCTATTGTGAATGGTGTGGTTTCCCTATTTTCTCTCTCTGTGTGTTTGTTATTTTTATATAGGAATGCACTTGATTTTTGAGTACTGGTTTTGTATCCAGCCTCCCTAGTGAATTGGATAATTAGCTCTAGAAATCTTCTGATGGAATTTTTGGGGCCTTCTTGATAAATTATTATGTCATCTCTGAATAATGATAATTTAACATTTTCCTTTCCTATGCTTAATTATTTTACTTCTGTCTCTTATTTAACTGCTTTGGCTAAGGTTTCCAGAACTATATTGAATAGGAGCAGTGAAAATGCACATCTTTGTACCTGATTTTAGAGTGAAGGCTTTCAGTTCTCATCTATTTAGTATCATGTTGGCTGTTGGTTTATCATAGTTGGCTTTTATCAGATTGAGATAAAGATCATGTATTTCAACTTTTTGTAGAGTTTTTCTTTTTATCATGGATGTGTGTAGGACTTTGTCAAAAGCTTTTTCTGCATCTATTGAGATGATCATGTCATTTTTTCCTTTGGCTCTGTTGATACGGTGTATTACATTTATT